GGCCTTCTTCGCGAATGAACCTGTGGCGGTGTACGTCACTGTCCCGCCTCCGCCGCCGGAGCTTGTACTGGAACGCGGGTTGAGGCTTAGGAATATCAAGGCTGAGCTTGTAAGGACTGTGCGCGTTGGGACTGGGAAGGATCTGGACGATTATGATCCGGAGGACGATGAGGAGGTTGAGCAGACTGGTGCTCCGCTTGGTGTTACTCTCGACGCTGCTGGTCCTTCTACTTCAGCTTCGACAAGTGCAAGGAGACCGGAGGTGTATAGGACCGTCGTGTCAAGATCGGGTGCTTTGTGCAGGTTTCATACGTCTAGACCTGTACGATTGCGCTTTGTATTACAGCAAAGCTCGCCCGAACCCAGTCCGGCAAGTAATGCCCAAGCGTTGCCTGCGGAGACCAGTGCGAACCCTCTCTCAAGTTCGACCGGGTGCGCAAGCATATCCCAACGCACGCTCATGCACTCCGTATCCTTCCGCCTACGAATACTCGCCACGTTCCGCCACACCCGCGCGCACGCCGAACGTGTCGCTGTTCTCAGCGTGCCGATACGTATGGTTCCGCCCCCAGCTCCACTACCCGAGGTCGCGTATGATGTCGACGCGGCATACGCGAAGAAGCATGATAAGCCGCCCGCGAGAACTGTGCGGACTGAAGATGCTGATGCTGCGCCTGGGTACGACGAGGCAGGTCCTAGTATGCCGGAGGAGGCCGAAGCGGGACCGAGCTACATCGCTGCTCCTGCGCCTGGTCCTGGCGCACCGCCGCCGTTTGAGCCGGACGATGCGCCGCCTCCCTTCACGCATACCGCTTCATCATCGCGTCTACCAACATTCTTGGAGTCCGAACAAGCGCATACGCAGTCTTCGTCCCACTCCCATACGAATGGACACGCGCATACGAACTCGCATGGATCTTTTGATGGAGAGTACGCGCCCCAAGGCGAGGGTACGCTGTTTGGGTTCCATGCGACGGATCAGTTCTCGGGCCATGCAGACGAGATACTCGAAGCTGAAGAAGCGCCCCCGCCTTCGCTTGCTCAAGCTGCAAGAGACGCAGACGTGACAGCACTCGCGCGTCTCGAGCTTTCTGCACCTGCTATGCGCGCGCTCGTCAGCGAGCACGCCAGAGCGGGTCATGGAGGCATGGAGCTAAACATGGACGTCGATCTGGAGCGGGAAGCCAGAGAGCTCGAAGCTGAGGGTGAAGAAGGGAGACCGCCTCCGCCTCCTGCTATGGACGATCCGGCCGATCCACCACCTAGCATCGACAGTGCATATCGTCCACCTCTGACCCCGCTTGCGACGGCATTGCAGGCGCGTACCGGAGAGACGGGAGCGGCGCCTAGTCCGGGTACCCATGCACCGCCGCCGTATCTAGGTGACGGAGACTCGAGGCCCCCGTATGTTGGGCTGGAGGCGCCGGAAAGGCCGAGTTACGAAGAGGTGCAGGCTGGAGAACGGCCTTCGTACGAGGAAGCTCATGCTACTCGAAGATCGGGTGAGCCAGAAGGCGAGGGCGCTACTAGGCCGCCGCCGTATGTGGATTTCATGCCTGCCAGTAGCGGGAGGGGCTAGATGGTTTTGTTGGTGTACACTGATATAGATGCTTGTATCCATATTTTCCTCTTGTTGACTTACTGTATCTCTTGCTGTGGATGGACATTTTCTTGTATTTTTTCTCCGATTATTTGGAGGGCTCGGCTATTCGAAGCCACATTTGGCGCGCATGCTGTGCTGCTGCAGTGCTGCTGCTCGCAAGTTGCAACTCACGAGCGCCTTCTGGCTTACTTTCCGACTAGAAGCAAGTCCATCTGGATCAGTGAGATGAAGTTCTGCCTCAAAGGATGAGGTAAGAGATGATCTAACTGGACAGAAAGCACAACAAAGCGAAAGGGCAGTGGCATGGCCGAGGCATATAATAATCGAGGGGGTGGCCGTGGAGCGTGCGAAGGCGGGCCGGAGCGTGCCTTGTGTCCTCGCGCGCACGTCGACTTGCGCCCACCACTATCAGCACCAATGGCCGACGCCGCATCAGGCTCCCAAGACAAGTCCGTACAGGTCAAGCTCGTCCTCCTCGGTGCGTATCACTCTGTGGCTTAGGAGAGGGAGTGTACCGACGAAATATATTATATCTGGGTCGAAATGCTCGGACCACACTCCTCTCCCTCTCCTCGGTTTATATTGCCAACATGTGCACGCTAAGCTGACGTATTTTCTATACAGGTGAGGCAGCAGTAGGAAAGTCGTCGGTTGTGCTCCGCTTCGTGCGTCCCTCTTGCTCATAATATGTTCCGCCACTCCCATGCTGACATCCTGTGCAGGTGTCGAACGAGTTCCAGGCGAACAAGGAGCCCACCATCGGCGCCGCTTTCCTCACTCAGAAATGCAGACTCGAGGACCGCGTGCTCAGGTATGAGATCTGGGATACCGCTGGCCAGGAGCGTTTCCACTCGCTTGCAGTGCGTATTTCTATCCTTATTCTTCTTCCATTCCTCGTTCTCGATAATGCGTTATATTCGCCATTCTTCGAAGCCCCGTCATATTCGTCTCTACTAGCCAGCGACTATTTGCTGATGACCTTAACCCGCATAGCCCATGTACTACCGTAATGCACAAGCTGCGGTCGTCGTATACGACATCACGAAAGCCGCCTCGCTCGAGAAAGCCAAGACGTGGGTGAAGGAGTTGCAGCGTCAAGCAAACCCGAACATCGTCATCGCACTCGCCGGCAACAAGCTTGACCTTGTCAAGGCCTCCTCTGCACCCGCAGATGGCGCAGAGGACGCGGACGAGGCAGATGATGCGACTGCTACACCCGGTGAGGGTGAGGGCGAGGGATTCGGCGCGGAAGACCTGCGCCAAGTTCCACGTGAGGAGGCAGCGGCATATGCGGAGGAGGCAGGGCTGTTGTTCTTCGAGACTAGTGCGAAGACGGGTGAGGGTGTCGTCGAGGTGTTCACCGAGATCGGTATGTGTGGCTACCATCACACCGCATGAGCGAATACTGACCGAAATTCACAGCCAAGAAGATCCCAATCGAGCACATCCTCGCATCTGCCCGTGGTGGCGCCGGCCGACCAGGCGCCAACTCGGGTTCGGGCAACCAGCCCGGTGGCGTCAATCTCGAGCAGAACGCAGCGAAGGGCAAGGACGCCTGCAACTGCTGATCTATCCCACCCTCGGCGCTTACCTCTTTACCTCCACCATCTGTGTTTGTCCGTCTGCCCTACCTACACGCGATCTCACCTATCGTAGCCCTTTCCTTTGACCCGGTACATGTAGTCCTGTTTCCTTCCTCTCTTGCACACCTCATCCCATCGATGCGCCCCCGTATTATATTCTGAGGGCGGATGATCACGTCGTCGGGCTGCTGGCCAGCTGTAGAGTACTCAGTCCCGGCTTTTGTACGCCGCTCACGCCCGTCGAATGTTTACTACTTACCTACATACTCTTTCCCATTTGGATTGATGATCTCACGAACGCTTTGTCATGTCCTGCATTATGTCGAATGTTCAGCTGATGATCGGCTAGACGTCGAACGTTGGACGTCGTTGAGGACGCCGCTGGCTGACGGGTGAGCGAGAGGCCGTCGGGGACGTACGGTGATTGAGGATGACGAACGCGGGTGCCTGTACCGGCTAAACCGGCTTTGTTTCTGATATATTAGCCTGTTTATTACCCCGCATTCTTAGCACGCTACCCCGCACTCCTTTACCCTCACCTCGACCCCTAACCGCCAGTATGGTGGCGCCTTTGCGATTCGGTACGATGTGCGCAACTCTTCCATGTTGTACGAAGCTCACTGTGCGTACAGGTCAAGCGCAAACGTTATTCCGGCCCACGGCCGCGAGCATTCCGCCACAAGGCGCGAAGCTCGTATTGTCGGTCCCGCCTGGGCTGCCGCACAACGCGCACCCTCTGGTACGTGTGCATCACTGCACTTGAACCTCTTGCTGAGATGCAGTACCCAGAACCCTCTCGAGTTCCTCCTCCGCGGCGCGACGATCTACCCCGACCACCTCGCGCTCGCCCACCCAGACGTCGCTCACCCCGCGTTCTACACCTATGCTGTCTTGTGCGTAGAGCATTCCACGTTTACATCCCACCCATCTATACACACTCTCTGCTCCTCACTGCTCTTGAGTCTGCGCTGAGACACTCCTTGTGTGCAGTGCCCAACGCGTGCAGAACCTCGCGTACGCCTTGCTCGACGCGGGCGTCCGTCCGGGCGACCGTGTCGCCGTGATAGCCCCAAATTGGTATGACTCCTCTCCGATCTGCAGCATCTGCTTCTCGCTCATGGAGCTGTTGCGCGCCCTACAAGTCCGATGATAGCAGGTATGTTCATTTAGCGCGCCCTACAGGCTCCGGAGGCTGACGTTCGCGTTACAGAGGCATTGCAAGCTGCCATAGCCGCCCGCGCGATAGTCGTGACGATCAACACGCGTCTTACCCCCGCCGAAGTTGCGTATATTCTGGATCATAGCTCTCCGCGCGTCGTGCTCGTCGATCATGAATACGTTTACCTCCTCCCCAAGCCATCGCCATTCCCAACCAACACATCCGCACCCTCTTCTTCTCGATCTCAACCCGCATTCAAGGTTGTTATAGGTCAAGATACTGGAAAGGAAGGGTGCCCGTATGAAGACTTCCTGAGCGAAGGCAGGAGGAAGAGCGGCGAGAAAGGATGGGAGGGGCTCGAGATGCACACGGACGAGAACGCGCCGTTCTGTCTCAATTATACGAGTGGGACTACTGGGAGGCCAAAGGGCGTGCTCACCACCCTTCGAGGTGAGAGTCACTGCTGTGAACGATGCGCATATATGCGGAAGCTAAGCTTAGTTTGGTAGGCACTTATCTCGCGGCTATCGCGAATGCGTACGAGGCTAGGTCAGTCTTATTCTCCGATTCAGCGAAGCTAGTACGAATCTGACTGTATGTGAAGGATGACGAGCGAGTCGACATATCTCTGGGTTCTGCCTATGTTCCATGCAGCAGGATGGACGTTCCCGTGGGCTTGCACCTTCGCATTCTCTACACAAGTTGGTCCACATTCTCCCGAAGATGAAATCGCACTAACATCCGGAAACGTACAGCTCACTATTCGGAGCGTCAACTACCAGAATATCTGGAAACACTTCCTCAACTTCGGCGTAACACATTACTGCGGTGCCCCAACCGTTCAAATCGGCATCGTCAATGACCCTCTGGCACGTCCTCTACCACACGAGATCAAAGCGATCATAGCCGGAGCAGCTCCCACCGCAAACCTTCTCGGCGCACTCGAGCAGAAAGGCATCGCGCCTGTGCATGTATACGGGCTGACGGAGACATACGGCCCGTTCGTGCGCAACTTTGCACAACCGAGTTGGAAGGAGCTGTCGTTGAATGAGCGCGCGGCGTTGACGGCGCGGCAAGGTCATGCATTTGCGACGAGCACACCCGCGCGCGTTGTGTACCCCCTCTCTGACGAGGATGGTGGGAAGGACGACGTAGAGCTCGTGGACGTGCCAAAGGATGGGCATACAGTCGGCGAAGTTGTCATGCGCGGCAACATCGCTATGGCGGGCTACTATCGCGATCCAGGCGCCACAGCCAAAGCCTTCCGCGGCGGCTACTTCCACTCAGGGGACTTGGCGGTGTGGTACCCCGACGGAGCCATTCAGATCCAAGATCGGAGTAAAGATCTGATCATCTCGGGTGGAGAGAACGCGTCGAGTTTGGCTATTGAGACGGCGCTGGCGGCGCATGCTGATGTATTGGAGGTTGCTGTAGTCGGAAGGGCGCATGAGAAGTGGGGAGAGCGTGCTATGGCGTTTGTGATGTTGCGAGCCGATGCGGTTAAGAAGTGGAAGGGGCGGCATAAGGAGTTTGCACGTGAGCTGATCAAACACGCGCGGGGACAATTGCCTGGGTTTGCGACGCCTGAGTGGGTCGTCGTGGTAGATGAGTTGCCGGTATGTGCTATTACGCCCGCTGTGAAGCTGAACTTGCTGACGTGGCTCTCCGTGGATAGAAAACGTTAACTGGCAAGATCCTTAAGACGGTCCTGCGCAAGCATGCTGCCGAGGAAGCGGAGCGCGAGGGCCAGATGAAGGCGAAACTATGACTTCCTTTCCTCAATAGGTTTGAGGTTGACTGCGCGATTTAGAAGTGTACTATATAACTCATGTTCTGTATGTATGTGCCTTGTAACGTGCCCATTCCAGCCCGACAAACTCATACTCCGTAGCATTTCAACCGTGAGTTGTATGATACCGAACCCGAGGATTGGTGTACGCTATGCATGTGCAGCTAGATACGTCAAGAGCTTGAATGGTGATGTTTCGTTCACCGACCTCCGCTTCGGGTAGTTCCTGCGTGCTGAGCTACAATCTGTTCCCCCTCCTTTGGCATCGCGCGAGTAGAAGAGTTTCAGTCGCGTCGCCAGAGGCAAGATGCTCATCAGGTACTTGGTTTCCACGCGCCGAGGGGTCAATTACGCGCAAGCGCCCGTCGCGAGTAGACTCGTGACCGGTGACCGGTGACGGGGCAAGCTCGAGTGCGAGCCCGCCGAGACCTTCATCTTGACCGCCACATGCCTCAGAAATTGGATACGTGCGCTCTACGCCAACGGGTACACCGACTCATGCTAGAGCGCTTGAGAAAGGTATATGCTGTCATCGACGCAGAACAGCAATCAGACCCCCGTTGGCAACTAGATGAAGAAGCATTTCGCAAGGGGATGGAGCTTGAAGCGGTGCGGCAGCTCCCTCCCCGCAAGCCTGTCAATGTTCATGCCCTACTCCTAGGACTATCTCGCTCGGCTATCAGGATGGATGACGATCCACTACGCAGTGAATTTGGATGGGCCCATTAGGCAGCTGTATCAGACCATAGTCGCGGTCCACAGAGGACAAGCCCACTATGAAACCGCTCGGCCTCCCCCCGAAAACCTCAATGAGCGAGGTTCTGGGGCAAAGCCGACTCAGGTTGACGATACCCTGGCGCTGATGGTTCTGCAGGATAGCAATCTTCTGCTGACGCGCTTGCCTGACTGGTGGACTCATGGGTTATCTTCTAAACCCACGACGGATAGCCCTGTAGCAGCTTTGAACTTCGACAAGGTAACGTGTATCGCTTCGTCAACGTGTACTTCGCTAACGTCATCTAGTCTCACAATCGTGAAATTGGGCAGGTTGTCCACGCTCGCTTTCGGAAGCGATAGAGTATCAGTACATTGCATTCAAGGATGCAAATCTCTCACATGCTTGGTCAAAGCGAGGCGCAGATATAAGGTCCTATCGTCGTGATTCGTTGGCCATAAGCACGCACTCACAGCGCTTACAGGCGCGCGCTTGCAAATGAGTAAATCGGCACCCTGAACCGGACGTCGCGGATATGTCGATCGACAAATCTAGTGAGTTGAGAGAGTCGAATGCCCCGCGTCTCCATCTGATACCCTTTAGAATATACTACATCCATTTCCCAGTTGTACCTGGCAATTATCCGTCGCAAGAGTAAGCTTCATATGGGAACCCTTCAGAAGCGGTGATCAGCAGAGTCTGACCCGCCAGACTGCCACCAGGCGGCGACCAGGTGGTTGTCAGAAGGTGGAGTCGGCGGGAAGTCATCGCTGCGCCTGCCAGTGAATGGATACACTTTGTCACTAGGACTGAGGTTGTTTGTACAGGATAGAAGCGTAACATAGAACTCATTTGCTGCATGTACGTGCCTTGTATCGTGCCCTATACGCCTGCGCCGCAATGAGTACCATTCGTTGGTTCCACACAGTCATCGCTGCGCTTGCCAGTGAATAGACAGGTTTTGCTGCGCATTATCGATGTCTCAAGATACGATACGCAAACTTGAAGATGATAACGGGCCGGGATGGTATCACGCAGCATATTTGAATGCCTAGAGACACTGCGCTGGGTTAGGAACGAACACGATAGACAGCGAGTAGCAGCGCGGGTTCATCTGCCCGTGCCACGTTGCGTGTGAAGTAGAGGCACGAACAAGCACCATCGCGCGTATATATACAGGCATCGTGTAGAGGATGTAATACTCAAGACGCAACACAGTTTTGCATACCCAGATCTAGCACGCCACTCCCATGCCGTTCGAAACAGTCCGCACCATTCTCCGCGAATACCGCGCGGACACCGACGCCGACAAGCTTCTGGCGATGTGGAACGACCCCGAGATTCAGCGCCTGGTCTTCATCGACTACACCGCGCCCAAACCCAAATCGATAGTCGAAGAGGCCGCCAAGGGCTGGCAAAAGCCGAACGGTTCGGGGTACTTTGTCATCGTCGAGGACAAAAAGGCCGGCGCGTTCCTCGGACAAGTGTCTTTCTCTATCGTCTTTCCCAAGACACGCGTTGCTGAGGTCGGGTTGTCCCTTGTGAGGGAGACTTGGGGAAAGGGGATCGGAACTGAGTTGATGGAGTGGGCCGTGCAGCTTGGGTTTGAGGAGTGGGGAGTGCATCGGATACAACTGTCGGTTTCCGAGGAAAACGCGCGGGCTATTGCTCTGTATAAACATCTGTAAGCTGCTTCGTGCCACTTGAGGCGGCAATTTAGCTTACCGAGCGATATCAGTGGGTTCACGCAGGAAGGCTTTCGTAGGGACTTCATCTGGTCAGGTGGGAGGTATTGGGGACTGGTGCAGATGTCGATCCTGGAGACCGAATGGGACGTAAAGCAAAGAAAGCCCCGGGAAGTTCATCAGTAGAACGAGGTAGTAGAAGAAGAAGTGCTTGTATAGCCCAGTTCATCACGGGTATCGCGCAATGGAGTCCAAGACTGGTTGATTACACACGTGTTGCGTGAAATTGGAAGATATTATCTTATAAACAAAGGAGCAGGCGCTTCGGGCAGAGACAAACGCCAGAGTCATTCCGGCAACCTGATTGGCTGGCTGGCCCAAGACGCGTCGCGCTGACGTCGTTTGCGCAGCGCACGGCATTCTCGAATGTTCCTTGCCTCCTCCCACTTTGTGCCCCAGGGCCCATGTAGAGTAAACACCTGCGCAGAACGCTTTTCTGTGTGATTCTACGAAACAAAGGAAAATGCCAGAGTCATTCCGGCAACCTGATTAGCTGGCGACGCGAGTCGCAACGCGCGGACGCGACGCGCGCGTCGATGTCGCGTCGCGTCCGCGAACATTCTCGAACTGCGGCACTCGGCACGCGTGACTGCGAATGCTCGGTGACCTCGAGTGCTGCTGCAAGTCTGTAGGAGTAGAGTTTTTCTCAGCATACGGAAACTGGACGAAGGCGAGTACGGCCCATGGTGTGCTGGGCGCAAAGCTTTGTACTTCCAGGTGCGAGGCAGGGTGCTGTATGGTCAGCGGCTGCACGCCGCACGCGGTACTATATGGCTATGGACGGAGGGGATGACACGCTCACGAGGATGTAGCACAGATCCAAGCGAGACGTGTCGCGATACACCGAATCCGTCGACGGTAAGCCAACCGCTCAGCACAAGTCACACCGCCCTGGGCACAGAGCAGAGACCCGATACTGGGCGTGTAGGTAGGTATGGAAGTCGCATGCAGGACAGCATACTGTAGTCAGTCCGTGCAGCGCAACTGGCTTAGCCGGCGACGCGTCAGACGCGTCGACGTCAAGCTGTTCGCGTCGCGAACTTTCTCGAACTCGGTGTCAGTATATATGCACGGAAACCGGGTGCAAGGCAAGCGCCGTACGGTGAACCATGCATCCCGACGCGAGTGATGCGGCGCGAAGTAGGGATTCGACACCGGGTGCAGAGCATGCTACTGGGTGTAGAGCGCGGGGAAAGTGTGGGCTTTGGACACCGTAATGGCAGAATTGAGCAGGCAGATAGCCGAGTGCAAAGCAAACTGCCAAGTGGATGGCACAGATAGCATACTGGGTGCAGGGTACGGCTACAGGCAGTCGTTAAAGGGCAAGCCCGTGCGGAGCACGGGTCTGCGCTAGTCTACTAAACAAAGGAGGACGCGCTTGACGTCAGAGACAAACGCCAGAGTCAATTCGACAACCTGATTGGCTGGCGACGCGCGGGCGCTCCATGATCCATCGACGCGACGCGCGCGCCGATATCGCGTCGCGTCCGCGAACATTCTCGAACTGCGCCACTCGGCACGCGTGACTGCAAATGCTCGGTGACCTCGAGTACTGCTGCAAGTCTGTAGGAGTAGATTCTTTCTCAGCACACGACAACTGGAGGAAGGCGAGTACGAACCATGGTGTACTGGGCGCAAAGCTTTGTACTTCCAGGTGCAAGGCAGGGTGCTGTATGGTCAGCGGCTGCACGCCGCACGCGGTACTATACGGATATGGACGGAGGGGATGACACGATCACGAGGATGTAGCACAGACCTAAGGGTCTGTTCGGCAACTCGATCTTGCGTTTCCGTCATGATTTCCGCAGCCGCACCTAGGACCATGATTGGTGGAGAGGCCGTCGAAAGTTCGAGAGCCTCGATATTCTTGCCTTGTAAGGCAATAAGTTTGACCAAAATCCTCCGTCATGACGGAAGATCAGGTTGCCGAACAGACCCTAAGCGAGACGTGTCGCGATACATTGACACGTCGCGATACACCATACCGTCGACGGCGAGCCGACCACCCAGCACAAGTCACACGGCCCTGGGTGCAGAGCAGAGACCCGATACTGGGCACATATGTAGGCATGGAAATCGCATGCAGGGCAGCATACTGTAGTCAGTCAGTGCAGAGCACTGCAACTGGCTTAGCCGGCGACGCAGCGCGACGGCGGAGCATCACGCAACGCGACGCGACGCGTCAGACGCGTCGACATCAAGCTGTTCGCGTCGCAAACTTTCTCAAACCGCATGTCGCTCAGTGCGCAGCGCTGCTGGCCACAATTGCAAAGGCAGAGCTCCGCTATCGGTGTCATGATAGGCACGGAAACCGGGTGCAAGGCAAGCGCCGTACGGTGAACCATGCATCCCGACGCGAGTGACGCGGCGCGAAGTAGGGATTCGACACTAGGCGCAGAGCGTGCTACTGGGTATAGAGCACTGGGAAAGTCTGGACTTTGGACACCGTAATGGCAGGAGTGAGCAGGCAGATAACCGAGTGCCAAGCAAACTGCTAAGTGTATGGCACAGATAGCATACTGGGTGCAGGGTACGGCTACAGGCAACCGTCAATGGCAAGCCCGTGCGGAGCACGGGTTTGCGCTAGTACAGAATAAGCACGGGCACAAAACACAGGAACACAGCACTCAATCATCGTCATCATCAGAGATATCAACATACGCAGCCGTTTTCGAAGCAGCAGCGCGTCTCGGCGCAGCAGCACGGGGCGCCGGTGCAGGCGAGTCTCCGCCAATGCCATCCTCATCATCGCTGTCCAACTTCTTCTTCGCCGCAGGGCGCTTACTCGGCGGCTTCGTAGCACCCGACGCCTTCCGTGCGGTTGCGGTAGGCTTCGGCGCCGCGCCCGCGCCGAAGAAGTCGGTGACAGAGGCCTGCTTCGCCTTCTTCGCTGGCTTGCCTGAAGCCGGCTCGCTGTCCTCCTCGCCGTCGGGTCTGTACATGATGGTCAGCGACGGTGACAATCACACTTGTACTGAAGATACATACGATTTCCTCTTCGTCAACGCTTTGCCCTTGCCCTTAGCCATAGCGTTTGCAATGAGCTCGGCCGTCGAGTCGTCAGAGTCGTCCACCTTCGCCTTCGCGGGTGCCTTGCGCGCAGGCGCCTTCTTCTTAGGCGGCTCGTCGAACTCATCCTCCGATGCGTCCGAGTCGGCCTTGGCCTTCTTCTTAGCAGGCGCTTTCTTGACCGGCGGCGCACTGCTGAAGTCGTCCGAGTCGATCTCGACGGGCTCGGCGGCCTTCTTCGTCGCGGCCTTGCGCGCAGGCGCCTTCTTCGCAGGAGGCGGCACGTCGCTGACCATCTCGATGTCCGAGTCGTCCTCGACCTTGGCCTTCTTCTTCGGCGGCGCTTTCTTCTTCACGGCGGGCGACTCGTCAAACTCGTCGTCAGACTCGATCTTGGCTTTCTTCGCGGGCGGCTTCTTCGCAGGCTTCGTGTCTTCATCGTCGCTATCAACATACGGCTTCGGCTTGCGCGTCGGCGCCTTGAGCGGTCGAGGAACAGTCTCGACGTCACTGTCGGGCTCTTCCTTCTTGGTATTGCCGTCGAGCGTGACGCTGGAACCGGAGGCAGTAGGCTTCGCCACGGCGGGCTTCGCGCGCGAGCGAGGTGCAGCAGGCTTCTTCGCGGCGTTCTTCGCAGTGGGCATGAAAAAGTCGTCGTCGTCGTCCGAGCCGCCGGCTTTGCGCTTGCCGGGGCCGGAGAGCGACTTGCGCGTGCGAAGCTTGGCCTGCTTGCGCTTGACCTTCTTGCCGTTCGCGTCCTTGCCGCCCTTCTCCTCCCAGTCAATGCAGAGTTGCTACAGCATTCATCAGCACGCACGTAAGAAAGAGGATGAGAGCAGATAGGTGTACGCACCGACCAACGCGACAAGAACTCGTCGAGATCCGTGTTCCAGATCTGGATGGGCGAGAGCTCGAGCAGCGCCATAAGCTCCGCCTCCTTGTCCGCCGCCTGCTGCAACAGCCTATCGATCTTCTCGCGCGTCAGACTCCAGATGGCCATGCCAAGCAAGTAATCGTAGTCCGAGCTCGCGCCGGTAGCCGCCTCCTCGTCCTCCGCCTGGACGACCTCCTCAAGCTCGCCAGCGGCCTTCGCCTTGGAGATCTTCGGGAAGGGACGGAACGAGAGCTTGCGCAGCTCGGCGACGATGTCGACCTTCTTCTTGTTCGAGACGGTGAGCTCCTTGTTGACGATCATCTGCACGAAGCGCGCTTGGTTGGAGAGCTTCTCGAACTGGTTCTGCAGCTCGTTCGCCAGGAAGTCCTATGCGCACTAGTCAGCCTCAGCCCATCATACGGACGAAAGGCGACGAGACGTACCTTGCGCTTCTGATAGTACGCCAACCTCTTCGGATAAAACTCCTCGATGATCTCGTTCGGCGACGCATACCGCCGAATCTTGCCATCGAAATCAAAGCAGATCATGTTCGTCGTATTGACCTTCCCCGTCAACTTGAAGTACTCCAGCAGGCCCTGCTCCTCCGCCTTATCCAGCTCCGCCTTGCTCGCATTGACGACGAAATGCACGTTCTGGTTGTCGTGGTGCTCCTTATAGTCCTTGATCCCGCTCTCGCCCTTGTCGCCGATCATAGCCTCCAGCTCGGCCTTGTACGACTGTGTCCACTTATGTATGGGCAGCTCGGTGATCTCGACAGTCGTGTCGTCGACCCGGCGCGCGATGCCGGCGACGTCGTACTTGTTGTCGCCGGTCCGCCGGATCGCGCCTTTGTACCCGCGCCACCACGGGTCCATCGGCAGCGTCTCCTCGCCCGCCATCAGCCTGCGCAAGTTCGCGACGATGTCGACGGGGTTGTAGTTCGGGACGTTCGTGCTCCAGCCTGTGCCGATGCCCTCGGCGCCGTTGACGAGCACCATGGGGATGACGGGCATGTACCACTCCGGCTCGATGGGGTCGTTGTCGTCCTTGAGGTACGTGAGCAGCGGGTCGTCCGCGGGGTGGAAGATCGTGCGCGTGATGGGCGAGACGTCGGTGAAGATGTAACGGGCGCTGGCGTGGTCCTTTCCGCCTTGGTCGCGCGTACCGTACTGACCGTTCGGGAGGAGCAGGTTGATGTTGTTCGCGCCGACGTAGTCCTGGGCGAGGTTGACGATCGTCATTGTCAGCGACTGCTCGCCGTGGTGGTACGCCGCGTGCTCAGAGATGTAACCGACGAGTTGTGCGACCTACACTCACAAACTTGTCAGGCAGCGCTCGTACCTCAGCAGAGTAAATGACACGCACCTTGATCTCCTTCTTCAAATTGCGCTTAAAACAACCCCAGATAACCTTCCTCTGGCCCGGCTTCAACCCGTCCACCACGCTCGGAATCGAGCGCACGTTATCCGCCATCGAGAACAGGATCAGCTCCTTGTTGATAAAGTCGTTGTACGAGATCTGGTCCGTGTCGTGGTTGAGGAACGTCCCCGGCCTGAACTGCTTGAGCCACTCCTTGCGCTCGTCCGCCTTCTTCTTGCTGAACGCGAGCTCGATCAGCTCCTTGTCGCCGTCCTCGGTCGGCGCGAAGGGGATCATGTGCTTCTCCATGTGGCTAAAGTAGTCGCGCGCGTCCTCGTCTTTGCTCGTGCCGAGACCCTGTGCACCGGCGTCAGCGCATGCGATCACGCAGGGATGCTGGTGGGACTGACCTTGTAGTACTTGCTCGTCCACCGGTGCGCATCGGGGGTCGCCTCAAGCCACTGCTCATACTCCGGGATCGTGAAGAAATCTCGGCGCTGGTTGCCCTTCGTCACGCGCACAATGGGCGTAACGAACTCGACGAGGAAGCCCGGGATCTTGAGGAGCGACGGGTAGAAGTGGTCGAGGAAGTTGATGAGGAGACCCTTGATGTGACTGCCGTCGTGATCCTGCGTGGCATGAGTATACTGGATACTGGAGACATGGGAGGAGAGAGGGGGAGAAGAGACGAACCTGATCAGTCATAATCATCAAACTCCCATAGCGCAACGACGTGATGCTCTGCGCATTATAATCCTTCCCATGCTGCAACCCCATAATCTTCTTGATATTCTGGATCTCCTCGTTCTTCATGATCTGGTCGTGCTTCGCCTCCCTGCACACCGACGCATCAGCACCCTCCCCATATCATACATATCTCGCAAGGCAAGGGATAGAACGCACCGAACGTTGAGCATCTTCCCACGCAGCGGGAACACGCCAAAGTTATCGCGCCCGACGACTCCAAGTCCGGCCACAGCGAGCGCCTTGGCGGAATCTCCCTCCGTGAGGATAAGCGTGCAGTCCTTGGCCGAGCGCGTCCCGGCGTTGTTCGCGTCCGCGAGCTTGGGGAGACCCGTGAGACGTGTGCGTTTGGTGCCGTCGTTCTTCTTGAGCTGTTGGTCCGCTTTGAACTTGGCCCAGTTGAGGATGTTGTCGACGATGTTGCTCTTCAGGACTGCACCATATGTCAGCACAGAGAACAGGGAGAGGGAGAGGGAGACGCACCCTTCTTCAAAAAGTCCTCGCTGAGCTTCGGCCGACTGCCGAACTTGGCAGCCGGCAGCGTAAGCTGCTCCTTCGTCTGACTGTCGAACGTCGGGTTCTCGATCAGCGCGTTGACGAACAGCCACATGTGGTCCTTGATCTTCGCCGGCTGCAACGTCCCGTCAGCTTGTCCTTCTCAACCTGTACGGAAGGGGGCAAGAGAAAGGGGTATACCTTGACGCTCGCGGCCTTATTCTTCTTGTTGATATGCTCGCCTAACATCTTCGCGAGCTGGTCCGCCACCGCGTTGACGTGTGTGCCGCCTTTGGAGGTCGAGATGGAGTTGGCGAAGGAGACGTGTTGGAAGGAGCCGTCTGAGACGCAGAAGGCTATCTCCCATCGACCTATATCGTTCGTTATCAGTACCATGCGGAGGAGGGTACCATGTGGAGGAGGGGGAGGGGTGGTGCATGGAGCGTACCGTCCTTGCTCGCCTCGTAGATGACCGTAGGCTTGACCTGCGCCGCGCCGCCCGATGCGTCGGCTGCGGCGGCCATCTGGGAGTTGAGGAAGAGGTCGACGTATTGCTTAAAGCCTTTCGTCCTGCACATTGCCTCGCATTAACACTTGTCATGTGAAGGAGATGAAGGGGATGAAACGTACTTCAAACGTTCGCCGTTGAGCGTGACGGTTACGCCCTTGGTCGTACCGGCCAAATCGTAGACGCGTTTCTTGAGCAAGGAGACGCTGCACATAGAACGGGTCAGTAACTTTCATTCGGTAGAGAAAGGGGAGTGGAAGAGCGTACATGTCGTCGTCGATGGTCTCCATTCCGAAGCGGGCGAGGTCGGGCGTGAAGGTGACGCGTGTATACTCTTCGTCTTTCTTGTTGTCCGTGATGCTCGCCTACAGGCAGTACAGCCGGCGTTAGTACGTGAGGAACAAGATGGTACAGAGATAGCGGAGGAAGCGCACCTTGCCCTTGGTACCCATGTTCCCAGTCCAAGTCTGCTTATACTTCTTTCCCGACTCCTTATTCGCCGTCTCGACCGTAAACTTCTTCGAGTCTATCCGCAGCCCAATCAGCATCGTACGCCTCACCCCAATCCACCAAGGCAAGATACGCACAGATGTTGGTCAACTTGGCACCATAACCGTTCCTTCCACCCGTGAGCTTCTTCTCGTCGTCATCGTAGTTCGAAGACGACAACAAGTGACCGAAGATCATCTCCGGGATCCAGATCTTCTGTTCGCTGTGGATCTCGACAGGGATACCTTTGCCGTTGTTGTATACACTGGCAATTCGCGTTAACGAATTACGAGGTGAAGAGATGGAGGGGGAGGGAGGGATAGGAAGCGTACCTGATCTCGCCTTCTTCGGTGTCGATGGTGACTTTGAGCGCGTTCATGTTCTGGTCGACGATCTAGAATAGCGTATCAGCGATCTGGACGTGGAAAACGCGTCAAACGGGGAAAGAAAAGAGGACGCGTCGTGCCACGTGATCGCGTCGCGTCGCGAACAATGAAACCACGTTGGGCGTCGCGAACAGGTCGCGAAGACAGCGCGGGCGCGTTCTGGGCGCGGTAGCGATCCCACGAAGGCGAAACACGTACCTTGTGATCAGCGGCGTTGACCAAAATCTCGTCCACAATCTTGAAGAAACCGGGCACGAAAGTGACGTCCCTCTGCACCATCCTCTTATTCTCGCTATCCCACGTCCACAAGTTCTGCGTGTGTTCCTCCACGGAGCCGATATACGAGTCCGGCCGGATGAGGATATGTTCGATCTGGGAGACCATCTTGTACGTCTCGGACGCGGACTTGTTCTTCCTGCTCTCCGTCGGTCGGGGCGCGGGCGCGTCGCTGTCCTCGATGTCAGAGTCGGCGCCGTCGTTCTCCTTCTCCACTTCCTTCTCCTTGCCCTTCCCCTTTGCCGCGGCCTTCTTCGCGGGCGCCTTCTTGGCCGCAGGCTCCTTCGCTACCGCCTTCTTCGCCGGTGCCTGCGAAAGCGCGTCAATATATTGCTTTGGGTTGTGGTTGAGGTATAGAGGCGACGGACCTTCTTGGCGGGTGCCTTCTTCGCCGCGGGCGCAAAGTCAGACTCTTCGCCCGAGACCTCCATGTTGAAGTCCTCCTCGTCGCTGCTCATCGCGAGTCGTAGAGTAGAGTCAAGCTAGTATTGATGTATTGATCGTCGCCGTCCTCGGAGTATTCAATGCTGTGGGGTAGAGCCGCTTCCCGTGTAGCGCGTAGAGTTAGGGGTACAGGCGTTGTGGCGGCGGGGCGTGCGGTGATGGTGGTGCTGGTCGAAGTGAGTGGCCGAACGAAAACGCGTGCACGAGAGTCAACGCAGTCGAACGGTCGCGTGCGACAAGTCACGTGGAATACGCGTGCTGCGGTCGACACGCTCTCTTGAGTCTTGTTCGTTCTGAACGTCCACCGCGCATGCCCAAGTCCGACACTGCAGCAGCCCTGCAAATGCTGTGCTGTGTATAGGCGCGGAGGTCATGCACACACGTACGGTGTAGGGACCATGCAGATTGCCAATCAATCATGATTCTCCGACGCGCTTGCGCAGTACACCTCGTTGTTAATCTAGCGCTTGCTTTACGCATCTGGCGACTGCCGTTCTCGGACTCGGCGTGAAGAACGGGAGTGAAATTACACTGGGAGGACGAACCTACGGGATTGAAGCGGTACTTTGCCTCTCAAGCTTCTACCGTGGGCGCGGCTCCAGCGATCCCTGCCAGGGTATGTGCTCGCGTTCTTGCCTCTAGTGAATTCAGGCTTACTTTCATCGTAGGCCAAACCCTACATCCCACGACTACAGCCCAGGTTTGGAACTCAGCAACATGCATTCGCCGAACTCGCTACACAAACATGATCGTATCGTACACTCGCGCCACAGATATCGTAACGAGCTCGCCGCACCGGCCGTTGTATCATACATGCAAACGCAGACGCAGAAACACTTGAACACCAATCGCATCGCCGTTGAGGCGGAAGAGAACCATACAGATACAGCTGTTGAGAGCAGACAAGATCGCACGCGTACACCGATATATCGAGTCAGATTTGGAACAAGTTGATACCCCCACTTCTCCGTTTATGGGCCCACCAGTCGGTCTACGCACGTCGTATTATGGCCAAGAAGTCGACGCTGTCCTGGCACATAACCGGCGTGTAAGGCGGGAGAGATTTGTCACTCTGAAATGCAGACGGCTGCTTGACATTCGAAAGGTTGAAAGGGTGCGTTGAGACGAAGATCTTGGCTCTCGAATATTCTACGTCCATGCCTTCGCGAACAGAAAGTACGAGCGGGGGGTCAAAAATCTCGAGCGTTTTGCCTGGCTCGAGACCCAAGGCACGCCACCTGTTGGGTCCCCTGGAAATAAGCGGGCAATAATCTTCATCTGTACATAAGTTCTTCGTCAGAATGGCACTGATCGGTGAGACAGTGAACATATCATACTGATGGAGAGATCCTGATAATCAAAGATCGAAACCGCGATATAGAGCGAGACGTCGGATTTGCTGCGAATCTGCAGTCCGTAGCCAGCCCCCAGCTCGGCCCCCAGCTCGGCCCCCTTGACCTCGGCACTACCGAGCTCGATAAGATTGACCCCGGTCCTAGGCTTGGCCCCGGTCCTAGGCTTGAAAGCGAGCGTCTGCCCGAATCTAGCAAGCCTTCTTACATCATCCATCATCCTTACATCATCCATCATCCTTACATCATCCACCATCAACTCGAGGAATTCCACATCCACTTCGGTGTCAGTCGCCTGCCCCAAGGTCGGTGCGTCAAGATAGCCGAAAAAGCGTACAGCGCTACGAAGGATGTGGACGACGCTGTCCGAATCGTTGGGCGTCGAACTCTCGAGGCGCAGCCGCCCAGCAGTTCTGAGCGCGACATCGGAAGATTCGGAGAAGGACAACCAGTAGTCGACTTGGCCACCGGCGACTGAATCGAGCGCGAGCTTTGCCTGCGAACGATCGTGGACGATGGTCACACTTGACTCCAGCTCCTTGACGATGGTCGGAACGAGCGGCTGTAGATCCGACGGCACGAATACTGTCAATGGCTCGAGTACGAAGGGCGCAATCTGCACAGCGTAGCAGGGCGAAGGTAAAGCTGGTGCCGTCGACGAGGACGCCTCGGAGAGTGCCAGCGTACTCTTGAACTCGGAAACAGACTCGACCTTCATCCGTGCCAGCGGCGGCTCCGCCTGATCCTGGTTGTCCGAGGCGCAGACAGCGAACTCCATCGAGGGCTGGATGCCGTAGTCAAGAGAGCCCGCGCTCATGATGTACGTGCCGTCGAGCTCGTCGACTCGATGTGCAGAAGCCCGGATAGTGGGCCTTACGTCGGCGCGTGCAGATTCATTCTATCAGAGATCCACTAGCTTCAGCCCGGACACGCGTGCAACCTGCGATCGAAGGGAGCTCACCTCGTTCAACTGCGCCAGTGCCTCGGACGTGCCGGCCGAGCTCGGCAGCTCCCGTTCCTGGCTAACCTTGGGCGCGAACGATGCTCCTCCTTCCTCAGCCTCGCTGATGGCGGCGCCTCCCGCTTCGTCTAACATATTGCCTTGGGTGATGAAAATATCACCGCAAGATAATCCGCTTACCGGTGTCACGTTGTATCCAGTCCTTCCCCTCCCGTTGCAAGAATATAGGGTGACCCTCACGAATCAGATGATCTTCCAGGTATGACCGGACAGCGGCTTCGTCATTCCAGCGCTTGTGCTGACGTGAGAGTAATTGGATCAGTATTATGTAATATCTACGGAATGTTGGACAAGTAGACGCACCTCAGCGCTCCCGGGCTCAGGTAGATACAGCTTGAGGTCGTCGTCGTGTAAGAGAAGAATGTTCTCGGGACATAACGGTTGGCGTTCCTATACGAGCGCCATCGGTCAATCCATCGGTGACAAGTATTTCAAGAAAGCGTGTACTTCTGCTATGATATCTAGGGCGATAGACACTACGCTGTCGACCTATCATGTCGATGAGTCGTGCGATATAATAGAGGAGGGAGGTTTAGACTACTGACCAGATCTGGCGGGGTTCCGGGCACGTCCTCGAATGTCGGGCTTTCTGAAGAAGCTAGGTCGCTTGAGATCATGTAGTCCTGGAATCGAGCCGGGGAAGCTCCTCACTATCATCATCGCTCTTATCGCCATCTGATCCGCAACCACCTCGCCCTCTGAAGGGCCGACGACCCTTTGTTGCGTGGAACCCTCTTATAAAGACACACTGATCCGCCGGCACTTTATCGGTTGTCAATTTCGGTCCGTCGGAGTAATCAGGTGGAGGCAAGGGCGTGCCAGGACTCCGTTTATTGTGCATCAACGTCCTGTACGCCTTCGCGGATGCTGTCAAGTCAGCCTCAACCGGACCAGCTAACGCGTCACTGCTGCACTCTTGACCCCACTTCACTGATGCAGTTAGGTCGATGTTGACATAGGGAGCCCAGTGGACGTGCAGCTTGACTTCTGGACCAGTGACAGATACCTTGTCGGTCGCCGAAGTCGCCCAAGCGCGTACGCGATCACAAGCCGTGACGAGGACAAGGTCCTCTAGTTTCAAGTCAAGCCCAAGCCCGCCCTGCCCAAGCGAAGTATTAGCAAAGCCCAACCAGCTCTGCCAGTGCTCTCGAAAATGTTCCAGAAAAATGTGCTTATGAACACTCTCCCTCGTCTGGTACCGGTCGAAATAAACCAGAGAAGCCTCAGCTTTGGAATCAAGGGAGAACGTGGCCGCGACACCCGGTCCTGAGGACCTAGCGAATATATATAGCAGATTAGCTCTCAAGCACAAGAAGGTCAACGGACACTCACGCAGTGACTGACGCCACGAGACCCACACCCTTGTGCGTCTTACTGTAAACGACTTGCGGAGTGGGTCGGTACCCCTCCTGCACACTGTCTAGTATGCCGGGCGGGAGAGGCTTGAACCCGACCGGCACTCCACGTATATTTTTGTCGTCTGACTCAGGCAGGGCGACATTGAACAAGAAATAGAATTGGCCCCGCGCGACATAACCCAGGTCGCCGACGTCGACAATGGGGTTTGGCACGGGGTTAGCGGTGCCACGTGTGCCGGGAGAGGGATTGTACATGGCATGACCCCTAAGTTGTGACGCCATCCGAAGAGCGTACATGTGCCATGGAGGTTTCGAGAGTTCATCATCACCTTTCTTATTGGGGACCCCGTTCAGGAAAATTCAAAACCTCAAGAGAAAAAGACCTACTTGTGTCAGAACAGTGTCCTCCTTCACGGGTTTGACTTTAATAGGCTCCGAAGGCGCGTTCTGCGGCGATGGCGGGCTCGGACGTGCGTTCTCGGTCGCGACCTGGAGCGACGGCATGGTTGGAAATATATTATATGGTGAGGGCTCCATCGTGGAGGTCGCTGCGTCCTTGGAGTTGGTGGGTGGGCCTTGTGGGACGACACCGTTGCATAGGCTTTTGAGGTCTTCAAGGCCTGGCGTCTATCAGCATCTGCGGATCCTTCTCAGAAACTTCACCATATGAGGACAGTACAACACCTCATGAATCGCCGAGTATGTTAGACAGTTATAATGATTCTGCGACTTCCGGATATGCACCCACATAGCAGGTAATGAGGCGCATATAGGGGGAACGGGCGCAAAGGGTGGACCAAGCCTGGATGATGGCACTCATGAGTACGTTCGAGTTCGCATCGTGGCATTCCTTTCTTGGCGCCGTTGGTACACTCACGACGCTCTACCTTCATGAGAAATAGTAATCAAGAGCGGGAGAGCTCACGCGCACGCATAATATCGGATCTCTCGATGCGACGGACGAACCCTACAGTGGGGAGGCGAAGGGGTATGGCATGGACAGAGCGATGTAACGAAAGATCAAGATGCATATGAAACGGCATGATAACGCCCAGGTGTTACTTTGAAGACATCTGTAAAGGAGGATAGGGCAGCGAGGCCTGCTCGAGAATCGATGCGAGGTTACAGTTGGTATACTTACTATTTGACGAATCTGACGATGGTACGAGACTATGAAGAGAGAAAAGCGAACATATGAGTCTGGAGCCGATGATGAGAGGGAAGACGAAGCACGTACGCCCATCGCGACAGCAGTAGCCACGCATGCCTTGCGTTTCCAGAGGTCTGACCCGTCACTATACGCCAGCCTGCCTGATTTACTGTGAGGACAGATTAACCGTCAAACCATCCGGGCATAGTTCCGCTCGCGCGGCATGGCAGCGCCGTGATGAGAACGGGTCCAAAGCGCCGCCGGTTGGACTGAATGGGCGGATGCGGCGACGGACAGCGCGTTAAGACGGGGCGCCTCGCACGGTTGACGGGACGACCCAAGACCTCGTTCGTGGTAATGACAGGTGTGGTTCACTTGATGCCCAGACGTTCCCGAAGCGTAGTGTAGCGGCGAGAGTGCACTTCACGGAGAGCGATGCCCTCCCCGACCAACGGTCATTACGTCATGGCGATGGCGATAATGCAAGCGCGAACATGAGTCGCGCGGTTACAGGAGGTTGTAACTTGTAAGGCCCTGTCGAAGCTGGTGCGAGGCGTAGGGAACGGACACTGCCAAGCAGCTTGTCTTCCGTATACGGCTGACTCCTCGCCGTGATCCCGAGCGGGATGGACAAGAACATGCAGCAACAGTACCGACCGTTCGGCGTGATTGGGCTTGGATAGGATAGGGCGACAAGTGGGGAATATGGCTGAGGGGATTGAGGCATCCCTCAGCGTGTAGCGTACCACCGCCTGCATGGGCGCGCGTGGCCATTCCCGCTGACGAGCGTCTTGTTCAAAGGGGCGCCGCTGAGGGCACTTCAGCTACTCGCTGTGCATCGCAACGTGATCCGTGATCACAAGGTAAACCTCCACATCTGGAAAGCGTAAATATGTCATATGAAACGAGCAGAATCGTCATCAAGCGCAGCGTCGTCGAGGTTCGAACCAAGTTCAATTGGGCGCGGCTCGCGCGCGGCGCGGCGACGTGGGCTGCCCACGGCGCGTTGTTCGCACGACACACCACACCAACGCGTTACAAAAGAGTAGTATCGTGAAAATCAAAGCAAAATACTACAGCACACCACTAAAGAGCTATACATTCCGAGAAGTAAGAAGACGCAAAGTCCCAAAAGTCCATAACTTCGTAACAGCTTAATGCCCAGACAAGTACAGGGAATCAGGATTCTCATGAATATTCATCATTGTGTGCCGTATCAGTCACGGTCGCTCTCGTGGTCGTAGAAGTACTCGTTGTTGTCAGTCCCAGCCTCGGTCAGGATACCGGTGTAACCAGACCTCTGGAGCCATTCGTTGAAGCGCGAGTACGGGATGGTGGGTTCGCGCGCGGCCCAGGTAAAGACGGGATTGATGACATCGGTCACGAGCTGGTCCGCGCTCCTAGAGTAGTTTCTCAGTATCTGAAAGCCAGCACTCAAGTGAGAGTGTACGCACGTAGGCCAGATGGTAGCCCCAGCGGCGGAGAGCCCACCGTAGACAAGATCGACGAGGTTCTGCCTAGAGATACCGCACGCCTGAGCGTCGTAGGCACAATCGCCGACGATACTCGCGTAAACGCCGTAATCGAGGTAAGGGAGAGTGTTCGATTCGGGGATCGATGCCTTGTCGCAGGTCGCATAGTCCACGAGAGGTCGTGGCTGTCAACATGGTCAGCGTCAATACGACGTCTCAAGTATTGAACATGCACGTACGCCCATTGCAACAGCAGCGGCCACGCAGGCCTTGCGCTTCCAAAAATCAGAGCCATCGCCGGCAGCCCCTCCGACGCAGGGCGAAAACTGGACGCGAGTAAGTAGTCAGAGAGTGTACATGGTGAGCGACGCGTAAGAACGTACGAGCTGCTTGATCCACGGCTCATTGGTAAGGTGTCCTTCTACGTTGCCACGGCCGTTGGTGCAACGGGTTGACGCGGTAGGAGCAGCACTAGCGGAGAGAGCGAGAGTGAGGAGGGAGAAGGAGTAGGAGGGCTTCATAAGTGGTTGAAGTAGTCGGTAAGAACTCAGAGAGTACTGAGTAGATTGAGGCGCATTCGACAGCCTTATATATCCCAGAGGCCGAGTTATACGCGCCTGCCCAGTAGGAAGCGAAGATCGAGCCATGGAGTTGCCACTCCGGACGTGCGGGATGTTATGGCCGCGGCGAGGGACGCCGCCAGTTGGACTGAATAGGAAAGTGCGGCGAGTGCGGGCGCGCTCTGGCGGGGCGCGTCACCGGAGCATTGTCGTGCATCTCGACACCGGAGCCGAAAGTCCTGCAAGTCTGCTTGTATAGGGAGCTGTGCGATGCCCTGGCTTGTCGTTCGGAGCATGACTCTGCTCGTGCGAGTCGTCCCGATGATACCGGTTCGACGGTGAATGGTTGTCATTGATAGGAGCACCGTTGTCGCGATTTACAATACAGTCTCTACCAAGACTGTGCGGGCATCTCTGTCCGGGGACGCTGGGAGATGTGCTGGCCAAGATACAGCACGTGTGCAGCACTGCTGAGCATTTACTGTGTTTGGACGCTATTGTATTCAGTCAGCGGTGACACATCAACACCAGCTTTTGGCAAAGTACCGGGTTCACAAGAGTGCGGTGGGAATGGGAGGTAATGGTGAACATTAGGACCATGATGGTTGGAAGCAAGAACAACTCGCGTGTGGTGACAAGTGGCGAGCGCTCGCCGAGCGCTCTCAGCGGAAGGCGCTTGATCAATCGGCTCCTTGTCTCTTGCCATCACCGAGGCCCTTCTGCCCCTTTACTGACTTATGCTATGAAACTCTCATTCTTGTGTTGAATCCGACAGAATTCTCATCGCGCGCATGTTGCCACAGTCCGAGACGTTTCTTCGGATCAAGGCCACTTCCATCGCGAACCGGCGCCTACGAACTGAGATTTATTCTCCTCCTCAGCTACTACTTGTTATAAACTGCGCCATTCTCCTATCACTATACACATTGCATCCGAAAGCGACGCCATCCCCTTCAGTGGGCCTGGTGGCTCTGCCACGTGTAGATCATGTACCATGGGCCGGCCCGCACTCGATGCGTTACAGCGGCCGGGACCGGCACACAGTGCGCCGCGAGATGGTCTGTGGAGAAGTATTCCTCATTCGGGTAGGATTGTAACAGCAATCCGTGCAGTAGATCGCACTGTATGCCATACAGCCCAGTGCGAGACGTGGGGCGGGATGGCAATCTCACGGATGGGCGCCCCCTGCTCGCTCCTACATCTCAGGAAATCCAATATCGCGACTGCCTGGACGACGTCCTCTGCCGAATAGCGCGGATTGTATTGCCACACGACCGTTTCCAATTTCGGGAACAGGACTCGGGGACCGCTGCCAGCAGCCACCTCGTAGCTCCGAGATAGAACATCCAAGAGCTTGCGATGATCTTCGTCGGCAAAAGGATGTATATCCAGCCGGCTTATGTTGGCGGCACGATGAAGTTCGCCGGCGATCGTAGGTTCGTTCAAAGCGCTGATCGCGGACGAAGATATGGAGATGCCGCGAAGAGTGTCCAAGGTCAGGAAGCGCGAGTGAGCGACAAGACTGTAAAGCGGTGCTCTCTGTACATCTGCGAGGCGTATCGTGATGTCATTGATAATTTCATCCGCCGATGAATGGCCACGCATGCGACGCCCAACGCGGGATAGCTTGGCTTCAACCTTGGTAGAACAGATTTGAAGATAATCTATATCTCCTAAGAACACGTGTGTGGCTTTCATGCTGTTGGGGCTACCGGAGAAGGACAGACGGGGCAACAAACGGCTAAGTACGCCGTGTAGCAAAGGTTCAATGACATCCGGTGGTTCGTACGCGCAGATCTCTATACTGCAAGAGCACTTCCAGGGGAACTGAAGACAGGATACGAAAAATATGCCCTCCACGGCAGGCTCCTGATTCAGTATCTGGAAGTCGAATCTCCGCAAATCCTCAGACAAGACGAGGGTTGGAAAGGATGATTGTGTGGTGTCATTGATGGGCACGATGTCTGAGAGATCGATCCGTTGAAGCCCTGGTAGTGTCAAAACATCACGAAGAGTGCTGTAGGGAGGCAAGTACCCCTCCCTGCTATGGATAGACAAGTGGGCCAGGTATCGGAACGAGGGAGGCAGTGACCGAGGTAGCTCGCAGTTCGTCAGTGCTAAACGTCTAAGCCGAGGCGCATCCTTGAGAGATGATGATGCGAGAGTTGCCGGAACCTCTTCGTTGCAGCTCAGAGAGAGGTAAGAAAGATGGGGCGTCGAGTGAGACAGGTGGGCTATCGCTGTCTCAAGCGCTGCGGCGGCGCCAGATAGCGACAACGTCCGGACACGCCTACAAGTTGATGATGAAAGCCATATATTAAGATCCCGAGGAGTTGGCCTATTGTTTTGCCAATAGATGGATACGTCCAACGGGGCCGAGCCCGCACGAGCAAGAATGTCGGGAACGAATTGATGAGGAAGCGAAAGAGCATTAAAGGTCAAGTCCGTCCACAAAATGGGTGCACCAAGCGCTATCTGTATGCAGTATGATAAGAGGCTAGCGTCTCACGCATATAGCGGTGAAACAACGAACCTGCCTCCACGAACTGCAGACGTGCGTGACGGTCATCCAACCGAATCTGAACGGTTGGTCGATATATCGCCCAGTGTACCATAGTGACCGACATTGCATGAACACCTTCACCCAAATCTCAGAAGGTAGCGTGCGCGGCCATGCTCGTGCGTTCCGGAGCTGGCGAGCCTCAACGATGGCGCGATCTATAGCCTCAAGATCTCTCAACCTGGTTGGAAGATCCTGCCGTTCTGCGATGCCATCTAGTCGAGATCGGACCAGAGCAAGCCATTCAGACCTGAATCATGAGGTTAGCTATCCAGAGAGGTGGAGCAGGACGGGAAGCTCACGTTGGATTGTCGTTTGACATCGTCGTCTGCTCAGAAAGCGCGAACGGCGCGCGGTACGCCCGCACGCGCCGCGACGCGTCGTTCCCACGCCTCATTCAAGTTTTCCGCTCGAAGTTCTTGAACGCCTCCTCGACCTCGACCTCCATCTAGCTTTCCTATCTATACTCAGCTGGACACAATGGCTGTATCCGTGACCGACTCATCCAAAACGCTGAAACGTAAAAAGAGCAAATCTAAAAAGGACGATGTGACGCCCGTGGAGACTATTGCCGAGACTGCTGTAGAAGAAGTCGAGGATGAAGAGGATGAGCGCGCACGTAAGCGTAGGAGGAAGGAGGAAAAGAAACGGAGGAAAGCGGAGGAGGCTGCATCTACCTCTGAGAACGTGTCTGGCGCTGCTACACCCGCTGCTGTGACGGAAGATGCCGAAGACGTGAAGGAGACGAAGGAGGAGAAGAAAGCGCGCAAGGCTGCTAAGAAGGCGAAGAAGGCCGCAGAAGCTGCTACAAACGGTGATACACCTGGTATGTCACATTCTGTTTCTCATATCTAATATGATATATTGACATATCCAGTCACAACTCAGCAGCCCGACCCATCATCTTCCGCGTCTGCGCCCTCAAAATCCGAGATCGAGTCTTACCTCGCAAAACACAGCATCAGCCTGTCTATACCAGCTTCTACGCCGACTTTCTCACCATATCTCTCCTTCGCCGCTGTACCCGTGCCTTCCAACTTGCGTTCTGCATTCGGCACGTTTAAGGAGCCCACGCCGATTCAAGCGTGCGCATGGCCTCCGCTCATGAAGGGGCGCGACGTCGTCGGCATCGCGGAGACAGGAAGTGGAAAGACGCTCGCGTTCGGTATCCCGGCATTGTCGAGGTTATTGGAGGAGCAGACGAAGAATGGCGAAGGCGAGAGCAAGAAGTCGAAAAAGAGGGGCAAGAAGGGCGGCAATGGCCAACTGCCCCGCGTACTCATCCTCGCGCCCACTCGCGAACTTGCTCTGCAATCACACGACGTCTTGGCGCCTATATCCACCCCTCTCAACTTGCCGTGTGTGGCACTATTCGGCGGCGCACCGAAACAGCCGCAAGTCGAGGCTCTGCGTTCAGGCGCGTCTATCGTCGTTGGTACACCGGGCCGTATCAAGGACCTCGTGAACGACGGCGAGCTCTTGCTCGGAGAGGTCGACTACCTAGTGTTGGATGAGGCGGATCGGATGTTGGACAAGGGGTTCGAGAATGATATCCGCGCCATCATCGGGTATACGGAGGAGACGGGACGGCAGACGGTTATGTTCAGCGCGACGTGGCCTGAGGCTGTACGTCGCCTGGCGGCATCGTTCCAGCACGAGCCTGTACGCGTCACAGTTGGATCGGAGGATTTGACAGCGAACACGCGCGTCAGTCAGCAACTTGAAGTGTTCGACGACGAGCGCGAGAAGGAGTAAGTCCTCCCCTTCCTGTCTTCGCGTCGCACATTATGCTTATAGCGATACAGCCAGCGTCTACAGAACCACCTCCGCAAACTCTTACCCAAAAATTCCAACTCAGAAGACAAAGTGCTCGTCTTCGCGCTGTACAAGAAGGAAGCGGCGCGCGTCGAGATGCTGCTCAAGCGCTCGTACGCTGTTACGGCTTTGCATGGCGATATGTCGCAGGTACGACCTTCCTGACTCTCGCGCATCCTCATCTCACTGACTGAAATGTGTAGAGCGCGCGCCTCGCTGCACTACAGTCCTTCCGCGACGGCGAATCCAAAGTGCTCGTCGCAACAGACGTCGCCGCGCGTGGACTCGACATCCCATCTGTGGCGGCCGTCGTGAACTACAGCTTCCCTCTCACAGTCGAAGACTACGTGCACCGAATCGGCCGTACTGGACGAGGAGGCAAGACGGGGAGGAGCATCACGTTCTTCACCGGCGGCAAGCATGAACGCGCGCTGGCGGGCGAGCTATCGCATGTGCTTCGGGAGGGCGGGTTCGATGCCGAGGCGGATAAACTCGGTGCGTACTTTCTTGTTTACGGTATTTGCAGGGGATATGGGCTGACGCGCGACATGTGTACAGGCAAGTTCCCGCAAGCGATCAAGAAGAAGACGCATGCGGCGTACGGGGCGTTCTTCAGGGATGATGTGGATATGAGCGCTGCGCCTACTAAGATCACGTTTGATGACTGAGTATGCGCTTTCCAGTGTTTGTAGACTATCTAGGGCTGCTTGACTTTGCTCGTCTTTACCTGGGATCCGGAGCTGTTGGTACTAGTAGAGTGGTTTCTGCTAGAGCGCTTGCTTATGTAGTAGACGTTGTGTTAGGCATGCGTCCTGTGCGCGTGTGCTCCCGAAGAACCTGACTTGCCGCGACTCTGCGCCTTGTATATCGGGGGCGGGACATGGTCCTACAACATGCAGAGCGAGGGTCGAGTGAGTCTCCAGCTCCTAGCAGCGGGTTCCGTGGGAACATTGGGGCCGCCGCGGCCTTCGTCCTTCCGTCTCGGAGTCGCCGAGCGGCGTGCCGCTCAAGCTCAGTCCACGACCATCCTCTGGATCCACTAACTTGGAGGTTTTACTGCCAGTTCCAATGCCATACTATGCCTTTGACATGTGTGCGTCTGAGCCGGATCACAACCACTGCGAGAAAGGACGCGACGCCATCGCGCCCCCACCGTCTCCTGAGTCCTTTGCACTCTTCATCCGTTCACCCACCGCCCTTCGTTACAATGGTAGCCACGCCTTCGCAAGCTTAAGCGCGACTTTGATACACTAGTCGAAGCGAGAAATGGCACACGTGAGGGCAGTAATTGAGTACTCAAGTTCGTGTCGAGAAGGGAGGACGACGAAGAGAGGGGCGTGGCGTGGCGGGGAGAGCGATCAATCGCTCTGTGACTAGGAGAATAGAGATGTAGCACATCGACCGGAGAGTTGGCATATGTGCCCCGAGGAACGAGTGATATCGGTGTGTATTTCTTTCGCTTTGGTAGACACGTTCTTACTGTGGTACGTTTATAGGGTATTGCGGAGATGATGCGGTTAGGACTCGGAGCGTCGCGCTTTTCGACCGATGCCACGTTCTAGAGACTATGATGGAGAACTTGCCAGTCGAAACGCGAAGAACGTACTGAAGGCTCAGCGTCGTGAGAGTGTGGCCGGTACTCCGACTGCGCATATTCAGCCTGCGAGCACGATCAGGTGATCCAACACCGCAACAGCAGTCCTGTTCGCCCTATCCGGTCGTTCACAGCACCACATGCTGACATCCTACGTAGACATGGATGCATGCGCTCTAGATGCAGCACCTAAATTGACAGGCATTGGCCGTTGTCCTTGTGTTCGCAGGACAGGCAGGTCAAGTGCACTTGACCTCCCACCCCCAAGACCTACGTCCTCTTTTCACTGACTGAACTTGTACGTGACCGCCCCCCTCCTCTGCTAAGCTCTTGTGGGCTGATCCTTGCTATAAGAGTTCTTGACAGTTGCTATTGATGTTTCCCATCACATGCAATGCATTCGGCGACATAATCGCAGTCGTGCATCTTGTATGGGACGTGGTTATCGCACTGGACGACGCGCGCGGTGCTACCGAAGATTACAGACAATTCGTGCATGTACTCAAGACGCTCGCTACGGTGATGGAAGAATGTTATTGCCTAGCCAATAACTGCCAGAACGGGGGCTTAAAGCTAGCAGTGCTTGCGGAGGTCCAACGCGTATGTGGTGATATCAGTCGCGCGACGGACAGCATAGTCGGTTACGATAGGCTTGCTGAGACCTCATCCCGCTCGCCTCGCGAGATTCTCGTTAAGCTCAGATGGCGCTTCTTGAAAGCACCCGATGCGTACAAGTATGTTAGGTGCTTCAACGAGAGCCTTTACAGGTTGAATACTCTCCTGAGTATCCTTGGATCGTACGTGTAACCTTCTCACGCGCTCGGTACCTTGATTTGATCAGTCTACAGTCAATCTGCTTCTCAACTATTCGTAGAGCAACGGTCTCACGCGCTACGTCTCGCGGAGACCCACGCACAGGCGCTTTACGAGTCAACTCGGGAGATTAAAACCCTCACCCAGTAAGTGACTATACTCTCTACATGTATGCATCTCACACCTTGCGTCGAATAGATCCGCTCTGCATCAGTTGTCGACGCAAACACGACAGCATACTGTCGAGCAGATCATCGGCAGGCCGTATGCTAGATCGGGTTTACAGGTTCAGCGCATCCCAACTCTCGCGCACTGTCTGATGAACGCGATCTTTGGTGATGCGCCCTCGCACAGCTCGCACGTACACCGCGAGATGTTCCTATCAATCCTGGCGCCCTTTGCGATCACCGGCGCCGTATTTGCGATACACACCAATATGGATCCTCGCTGGCGAGTGCCATCTCTTTGGGCAACTGTTGTTGCACTTGTGGTGCAAGTCCTTTGGCTTAGATGCTCTCCTCCTGCGGCCCCGGGATTCAGCTATGAGAACTCTATCACTCTCATCGACGCCCTTGGAGAACGTATAACGGTGCCTTGCCACTTCTGTACTTCACCTGAGGTCGGTGAAGTGCCCGTGTGTTGTGTAGCTGTCCATGAATTCACGCCCGTTTCAGGTGTTCCATCAGTTTCTGGACCTTCTATATGCAGGTACAGGCCGTGACGGGAAGGAGTTTGTACAGAAGAAGCATTATGAGCTCTATTCTCCTAGAACGACTCAAGTGATCACGGAGAACATCTGGCTCTCCTGTACTCAACCCGGTCACACAATTGAGATGGGCGTGATTCTCACCGATTGCGACGGCGACCTGGACCCTCCAGAAGAGGGATGTACGTACTGCTTTCAAGAGGGCTACGAACTGGATATGAAACAGGCTATTTGGTTCGTCATGTTGATTGCTCTTCTTAGACGTTGTCCCGCCCTTCCCCCTACTGATGCTGCTTAATCAGCCCCCTGTGCTTGCGCGACTATCAAGAGACGAGAGAAGATTCTTCGCACGACACCTTTTGGATTATTGCGGTCCATCACGAAGAGAGAACGTTGGGAACGTATGTTATTGAAGTTCACACCTGCTAACAGAACTTCATCCTGAAATAAATGCGTCTCAACAGCTATGATTCTGGCGGCCTAGGAGCGGATGCAGAACGTTTCTCAGACTCGCGCAGGCCCATTTCGTACCTTCTCAAGTTTCTTGTGGCGATGAGGCTGTGGGGCGAGTAGTCGACACTGCGCTCTTCCGGATCCGATGTGCATGCTTATACAGTAGAAGTTTACGAGTACAATCTGTGGATTACCTAGGATGACGACGGTGCGCGTATACATAGATTGGCGCATTGGCGCCAGTCGTTGATGGCTAATGGTGCTGAGGTTCGCGCTGCGAGCGTGCGGCGACAACGGCGTCTCCATGGGCGCGACACCGTGGTCCAATATCCCCGAGGTTAACCCGAGGTGGTGTAAGTGACGCACGCGGCACCGCGTCCACAGTTCACAACGTGCATCGTCGCTTTGCCTCGTTTGCCCGCCACATTCATCAATACCGTTACCGCTATACAGACTCGTCACCTCTGACTAAGTACCAGCACTAGGACAGTGCAGTGTGAGAAATTTCGGGTCATCGGACCGCACGGCGCTATTTTGTCGTCGCGCACACACCCCGGCGTCTGTCTTCGCACTGCCACAACCAGCGTGGCTGCAAACAAAATATGGATCGCTTTCAAGATTGCCGTGAGGCTCGTCCGTACTTTTACGACTCAATGGGTGCAGTTGGCGCGTCTTGGGCCTTCGATCATGCTTACCCGCGTCGCGCTGTCGGCGCCTTGCACGCTTGGCTTGGTTCAACTTCGCCTGAATGCGAGCACAGCGTTGCTGTTGTCCTAGGCTCACAGCATGTCATGAGGCGAGCACGAGCATAGTACTCTTCCCTTCAGTACCCATCTTCCCTGCTCGCCTCTCTCCATCATCTCCGGACGGACGCCACACCGCTCACATCTTGTACGTGATCTATCGTAACCTATTGTAGTGACATATTCTAATCAACGGCTACAGGGCGATTTCGTCCTGCTATTCCCATGTTTCCCATCACTTGCAACGCGATCGGCGATATCATAGCCGTGGTTCAGCTCATCTACGACATCGTCAAAGCGCTCGATGACACGCGCGGAGCCGTTAAGGAGTACAAGCAGTTCATCCACGTCTTGACGGCCCTCGGAACAGTGATGCACGCTGTTCATGATCTCGTCAAGGACTCCCACGACGATATCCTGCGACGGAACGTTCTGCAAGAGATACAGCGCTGCTGCGAAGACATCAACCAAGCCCAAAGCAGTATCGCTGGCTTCCAGAAGCTCGAGAAAGCATCCACGGACCGCGCGTCGTCCCGAGCGAGTGCGGCGAGCACTATGTTCACCAAACTGCAGTGGCATCTATTGAAGGCATCCGACGCGGAGAAGTTTGCGAGGCGGTTTAGCGAGAGTCACATCAGGTTGAATGGGTTCATTGGGCTACTCAGCCAGTACGTCGACATACATAGTCTCCCAGATGCCGGACGCTCATGGGCTATGAAAGCAATGCGATGTCTCCGCTCTTTGAGAATCAACGTCTTCACGCTCTCTTCATCGCTCAAGAGCAGAATCGCACGATTCTGCGGATAAGCGAGGACATCAAGGTCGCGACTTAGTGAGTATTCCCGATCATCGTGAGCGAGGAGTGAGATTGATCTGGGTTGAACTGGGCAGTAACGCCATACAAGAAGCATCGCTGCCGTCGCGCCAGCAAGTCGCAGAACAGGTCCTTGCTTCAATACCTGCAAAACGTAAGCATGTCTCTTGGGCCAAGCAGGTCGCATATAAGATCTTCGACACCTGCGCTCCGGACTCCACCGAGGCCCAGCGCGACCAGTTCCTGTCCCGCTTAGAGCCTGTGGCGATGGCAGGTGCTGCATATGCTATACACACCACTCTGTCTCCCCAGTGGCAAGCGACTGCCCTTTGGGCTGCTGTATCTGGACTCGCCTTTCAAGTCCTATGGATGAAGTCATATTCGCCGGACAATGCTCCTGGTACTCCAAGCGATGTGGTCACATTGACCGACGTTAGTGACGAGACTATATACGTCCCGTTTCAGATCTGCGAAACCCTCGAGGTGCGGGCGTTGTGTCGATAGCCCCGTCGCATTATCTCACTCACATTCAGGTCTTCCACGGCTTTTTGGAGCATCTGTTTGTGTCCACCGGCAGACTGGGCTACGATTTTGTGCAGAAGAGGATGTATGAACTATACCATACCGGATCCTCCGAGGTCGTAACCTCCGCGACCTGGTCAAGCCGCGTTCGACGGGGTGCTTGCCTTGTCATGGGTGTAGTAATCATGACTGGCTGCCGCTATCATGATTCACCAGAGGTCGAATGCCCTTACTGCAGCCATGAGATGCCGAGTACTATCACCGAGGTTACCCGGGCAGTCGTATGGTAAGCTCTCTGGGTCGTGCTGGCTGAACAATCCGCTCACCTCAATGCAGTACACGTTGTTCTCGGACATTCTGGACGACCGACGTCTTTGCATCATACCTCAGTTACATCTCATCTCTCCTAACATGGAGCGATGAGCACAGACGCATCTCGTTGACCCCGCAGTTTGTCTCTTGCCTGTACGGCCAGTCGAGGTGCTGACGCATGGTCATCAGATCCTATTCCCACTTTTCATGGCAAAGAAGGCAGATAGCGGCATATTATGAAGACCCTTATGTACGGTCATATCATACTGCCTCGCAGATAGCTCGTGTGCGGATCGTCAAAGTACACACAGATGTGCGTCGACATCACCTGTCATTTGATGCGAGCACTTGATTGACTATTCTCTGTGTCAGTTTCACTCCGAGAATGGTATGCGATCTATGTAACGCCATAACTGCCTTAATGGCTTTGCTGACAATATAGCTGTACCGGTGGATATCGGAGGAGAAAGCAATGCCATTATAGACGGAGCCCGCGCCAATCAGATCACCAAGGTTGGGCTCGATTGGATGTATATCTGGCTGGTTGCGAAGGTTATGAGAAAGGCACGCAGGGTGGTGGTACGCTATCCATGTCGGGTGATCATCGCCTACTCTGGCTGACTTGAATCAGGCTTGTGAGGGCTATGCTCCCACTATCGCCATCAGGGTATTGCGCCAGATCCAAGAAATGTTTCGCTTGGTCCGCCTGCAGTATGTCAAGTATCCGGGTGAGGATATACTTCACAGACCTTTGCCAGCAGAGGAACAGTCAGTCTACTCGCCGAAACTAGTTCACAGCGAACACCATGCTGACTTCTTACAACTCTTAGCGGCATTCCTGACCTGATATCAGCAGTGGACGACTTGATCAATGAGCCATCAATAGCCCGAGCAAAGCAATTGGACATCATGTCTGGCGATGGGCGCGTCGAGTGGGTACCATTCGAGATATCGGAGAAGTGCCAGGAGATTAAGGAGGATGTGGGGGTATTCCTCAAATTTCTGAGTATATGATACCTATCTAGGAGCTTTGCGCAGTATGGTGTCCATCTCGGGAACGGCGACGCGTATATGGTGGTAGAAAGGAAAGCGCCAAAGCGTCATGAGCGGCAGCAATCTGTGAAAAGCCGCACTGCGGCGAAGCGACTGTGAAGAGTCAACCCCTTGATAGATGTAACGATAGTCTCAGGGCACAATCGTTGCTAGACACAGCAACCGGTAGGAGCCAACCCCCGCGGTGAGCACTCCAGCCGCCAACAGCCATTGGCGGCTCACATAAATATCCTATCTGTGCATGGGCTCGTCCCACTCGACAACGCTGAGCACTCTGAGACAGGAGACGTCAATCTTTGAAAGCCCTTCATCTACGGGGGGTTCTGTCTCGCTGCCTACGTAGCGATGACAAGAAGATATTGGGCCTTCGCGATTTCGACCTCGACGGGTGGTCGAAATCCAAGCCCAAGCGGTGCGTTGCAGTGACGCGAAGCCCAAGGCGTGGTGAAGCGGATTAGCGGCAAAGCGGGCCGGCGAACGTGGGAGAATATGCTGGCCAAGGCGGCAGCAGGTTTCGGGGTTGGTTCTCCCCGTCGACTCTCACTCTGCCTACGCGATACGATTCCAAGAATCAATCATCCAATTATTTCTCAACGACTTCTCTTTTGCTATCTGTGACGGAGATATGGAAATTGGTGTCATGCCCGGATCGGACCAGACTCGCGACCGTCTCCTTGCACGCGGCGAGGGGGGTAAGCTCGAGTATTTCACGACTGCAGGTCGCGAACCATGATCAGCTCCACGTACTCTCTTTGAAGAAACTCTCAAGCACCCTAAAATCACGGTCCCGCCGTCTCAAGTACTCGAGCATGTCTCCCCGCCGAATGGTACTTGAAGTGGTGGTACTGCCTTTATCTTGTGCACCATGTGGCAATTGCTGACACTCTTCGACAGTGCAGCCGCGGGCGGCGCATCATCTGGTTACACCATCACGAAGTCTCTCGGGTAACAACGGGTTCGAGGCCATAAGAGCCGTCATGCGCGTGTCTCGATAGGTCGAAGTAAGGACGAGCGCGAGAGGCGTGGGTCTCCTCATCTTCTTCTCCTTGCATCATATTCATGTCTCTGCAGTCAGAAGCTGGAAACCCATATCTGCCCCTCCCCTCCTGCACACTCCGAGAACTCAGACCGGACGATGAGATCTGCACGCGTTGGAACTCTGCATAAATGCTCGTGCGGCCTCGCGGCCTTGCCCGGCGGTATGAGGCAAGAGCGTCCCGAGCGGTCATACGTCGACGCTATGTTTCATAGCAATGGTTCGCAGGTGAGCTCAACTTCGATTTCACTTGTGAAGTACTCACGTACATATGTCTAGCAGTCTGCGCCTTCGGGGATCCAGAAACCCCGTCGGGATGGGGATATCGCCACAGCTATCGCGGCATGCGCTGGCATGCGGTTCCACACTCCGTTCGCTGCTACCGATCTTTCCCAACGTGAGGGATGTACGGACGGTGGCGGAAGAGGACTGCTCGTGGTGCAGCCGATCGCATACCTACACCGAAGATTAGGAGCAGGAACCAGGCCGGATAAGTGCCGCGCGAGGAGATGCGGATACAGTAGTAGCGGTATGGTCATTGCGCTCATTGAGACTGCACTGGCAGGCGTTCTGCCAGTAGTCACGATCGCAGAACCGGTGTCGGCCATCGACGTTTGCATCTGTCAACTGCATGAATGGAAGCACGTTTGATTGCATGCCAAGACGTGTTCGAATCTACACGCGTTTGCGTCGCGGCGGTGTTATCAGCGAGTGCATCGATATCTGGGCTGTGTAAATGCGTGACACAATGATGAGATACTGATCGCAGGCGGACGAAGTCGCGCGATGCCATGGCTAGACGAGAATGGGCGCTCCGGATCCCTTTATCGTTTCCATTCTAAGACTGGTCGTCCGTGCCACATTGGCGTACTTGTCTTCGCATTGTACCATTTACTACATCATTTTCTCATGCCGTTAGCTTCTAGACCTACAGAACACGAGCCACCGGCGAGGCGAACGTAGGGTATAAACTTCGCCGAGGACGTTCACGCGGGGCTGCTGTCCGTCCTTGCACTCTCTTCCTGCCGGTGTCAAAGACGCCAGACTTTGCGCGTGAGTCGTCCGGGCTCTCATAGTCGGTTCACGTACTCATTGCTATTGCGATTGAGCAGATTGCATCCAACGCCTATCCTCTTGCTATGATTCCTATAACCTGCAACGCTGTCGGCGACATCATTGCAGTTGTCCAACTGATCCATAAGATAGTCAAAGCACTAGATGACTCGCATGGAGCGCCCGCGGAATATAGACGTTTCATTCACATTTTGACAGCTCTCGGCGAAGTGATGGACACGATATACGAACTTGCGGAGAAGTCGTCGGACGAGAACCTACGGCATATTGTGCTACGTGAAGTCCAGCACTGCTGTGCGGATCTCAATGAGGCGCAAGAATGCGTCGCTGGCTATGAGAAGCTGCAGGAGGCGTCTTCCAGCTCGTCACTCAGAGCCCGCCGAGATCGGGTTCTGACGAAACTGCAGTGGCACTTGTTGAAGGTTTCTGACGCGAAGACATACGCGGAGCGTCTCAGTGCTAGTCATGTGAGGCTGAATGGCCTCATCACGCTGCTCAGTCGGTATGTATACAACATCTCTCGTATCCACGCATTACTCAGCCTTGGAAGAACGTCGATACATCAGCAGATCCACGAACAACGGCTTCTTGCACACGAGCATACCCGCCAAGTTCTGCAGATGGGAGAGGACATAAAAGCGGCGAACCTGTTAGTCCGAAGTCGAAGACTACCATTGACGCAGTACAATGCTGACGCGACTGCATGGGAACAGTGTGGCCCTACACGAAGTGTCCTTGCCCGCTCGTCAACAGGTCGCGACTCAGGTTCTGTCCTTGATACCGCAAGAACGGCAGCCCGTGTCCCTCTCAAAGCGGATGTTGAATAAGATCTTCGACGCATGTGCCCCTCAGGCTTCTAGCTCTCAACGCGAAGACTTCATCGCTCGGGTTGAGCCACTCGTCAAGGCTGGCGCAGCCTATGCCATCTATGCCGCTCTAGGACCACAGTGGCAGATACCGGCCTTATGGACCGCTGTATCTGCGCTCGCTCTTCAGGTCCTGTGGATGAAGTCGTCCCCGCCAGAAAGGGTTGCCGGGTCTGGAGACATCGTCATTTTGACTGACTTACTCGGCGAGAAGATATCGGTGCCGTTTCAAGTTTGTGGCTCATTCGAGGTCAGCCATCAGTTTTCAGCTACGAGACTGTCATCATCTGACATCGTCCAGACATTTCATAGATTCTTAGAAGGTCTGTACACGTCAACACAACGATTGGGTCACGAATACGTGCAACATGGACTATACGAGATAATCTACGATGCGGAGACTTCGGAAGTCGTTACATCTGCAACGTGGAAACGCCATGTCCGCCCAAATGCATCAATCGTGATGGGTCTTGTGGTAGCGGACGGATGTGATGGAGATCATGACGACCCTACTGCTACCTGCCCTTATTGCAGCTGCGAAATGCCAACCATCATGACGGATCTTACTCGCGCTATCAACTGGTGTGTACACTGAAACTCTCGCCCTTCCCTCATGAACTGATGTGGCCAGTACGGATTGTGAGCGCACTTTCTGCTTAACAGATGTGTTCGTTTCGATTGCGGGCATGATCCCAATCATGTTGACCACAGTGGAGAATGGACGGCGTTCGCTACCGGCACGGTTGGTCTCCCGTATCTCCATCGCATCTCATAGTGATGTATGCGATTTACAGGAACGGATCCCATACCCGTCATACCAATCGCATACTAGAGAGCCAGATCAAGCTCTCCGGTGGTGCCGATGTCGAACTCGATGAGTTACAAATCCCTGACGAAATCATAAGAGTCCGTGTGATGAAAGTGCACACTGGAGATCACACTGTGAGGAGGTCATGTCCACGTTATCTGTTCCTTATGAGGCTGACTGTATACCAGCGTCACCGTGCGTTGCCTACGTTCAATCCGAGTGTACAACCCACTCTGGGTCCACACGCAGTGCTCATGACAATCCAGGTGTTCCTGTAGACATCAGCTACGAAACAAACACAATCATCGAAGCTGCTCGTGCTGGCAGACTCCCTATGGCGGAACTTGACTGGATGTACATTCACACCATTGCAGACAGCCTACCGAGTTTATCTCGATTCGACTCCCAGGTGTGTAGTTTACCACAGTGAAATGATCGCGCAGTCTCAAGCGATGATATGCTATAGGAAGAGCGCGAATGGGGATTTCGGGAGCTACGCCAGATTCGGGATATATTCCGTCGTGTTCGCGAACAATACGTGCATGGCTTCCCCGACATCAATGGCACGGTTCAAGGGCCACAAATCATGACCGCTCAGTACGTGAGCTTCATCCCGTTCGTTCGATACCCTTACATCCATGTATAGGAGTATTGCGAAGATGGTCTCGGTTTTGGACGCCTTCTTCGATAACCCTTCACTTGTTAGGACTAATCTATGGGACGGCTTGTTTGACGAGCATCTTGTCGAGTGGCTTCCGGATGGCGCATCTCGGCGATATGATGCGCTTAGTAAAGCGCTCAAGGAGCTTCAAGGCATTACCTTGTAAGCCCGTTTGGTTATAAAGGTGTTACCGAAAGCCGAAATGAGGCTTCTTACAAGATGAAATCGCCCCGGACGTCAGTTGAACCATCGCGGCGTCGACGCCCGCCGTGTACTTTTTTCACCCACATCGTCGTTATTGACGGGCATCCCGACGGATGATAGAGACAGTACAAGTGTTTTATATGCACTCTCCCGGCTTCCAGACACCTAGTGTACAAGTACAGATCGTTGTCGGCTCCATTATCATCTAGCACGTATCAGTTGAAGTCCTAGTCCGATGACTGTGGATCACTAGCAGCGGGTGTCTTTGAGAGTCAGAATCCGTACAACCGACGCATGGAAGCTAGCCTGGGTTGTAAACAGTGGTATAGAGGCAGTTGTTGCATAGTAACCGCTCCCATGGTGGAGGACGCGGCCAAGGAGCAGCGCGGTGCGGATGCGCTGTAGGCGCGGGAATATGCACGTGCCAGGACCAAAGGAGCGATCACAGCATGCTCGGCCCGACTGCTTCTCGACTCCTTCTCGCCACCCGCGCTCAAGTCTATTCTCCTGAGCTATAGAGCCTTCCTGGATATTACCCTCTGGAATCCCCCAAAGACTACTCTGCTTACAATCTAGCTGGAACCAAAGTGCTATTGTGAGACTCGAGATCAGACTAGGCAATATTTTCGCGTAACCACAACACAAAAGATGTCAGCCTCCTTGCTATTCCACCCCAGAAAGCAGAAGGCAAAACCTGCCACTACTTCCAATCCCTTGCTACCTGGCGCGAAGACTATCAACTCTCGGGTCCAGGTTCGCGCCGTCGCCGCGCCTATGCCTATGAAGCGTAAAGCCGAGGACGCCCTCGGAGTTAAAGTCAATGGCGCGCCGGCGATGAAGAAGGCGAGGAGCAGCTCAGCCGAGAGCTCAACGCCACCGCCAATACGCTCTGCGAAATCCAAGGCTCCCACGCCGACCCCCCTGCGCGAGGTCAAGACTACGAAGAGCACGCGACCTGCTATGGATGTCGAGGTCAAGCGTGAGAGGAGCGCCACGCCCGCCTCGGCGCTTGTTTCTTCCCAGTCGAGGTCACGCTCGCCTACACCTGTGGTGAAGAAGGAGAAGGGGAAAGGAAAGGCGAGGGAGGGTAGTGAGGGGGGACGGGAGGGGAGGAGCTGTTTGAGCGATGTGGCGTTTGATCCCGCCAGTATGAGGACTTATGTCGACGCGTACGGCGGCGATCTGTCCAAGTTCCGCACTTGTGCGTATACTATCTCCTGCTTCTTTGCACCCATTCTTACCATACTAATACACTCTTATTGTATTCTAGGGTTCGAGAACCCCGCCGACGCCTCCGACACCACATTTGCCGTAACGGACACCGCCTTTCCGTCTGCATACCTCGAGCTTCCCGCTCGGAACGCCCGTGCACACTACATCCTAGCCGTGCGGAAGGATCCCGACGCCTACGCGCCCTTGTACGACCTCGAAGAGACGCTTGCCGTCGTCGTGGACCACTACCTTCCCGAGGACCTGAAAGAAATCTTCGGTCCGCATCCCGACGACGTGAACCTTGGCGCGTATGGCTTGCAGAAGGATCTGCACCGCGCACGGACGAAGAAGAACGGTCCTCTGTTCCTCTCGATTCTCGACACTATCAATGGCCACATCCAGAAGCTCAAGTATCCGCCTTTGCCGCCCGATCTGGACTCCTACGCGGATGGACCGGAGAACAAGATGATGGATAGGGTGAAGGAGTGGACGGACATGCCGGAGAAGGTCGCGGAGAGGATATTCGAGGAGACGTACCAGTGCGTCGTGCCGCCGCACTACAAGCGGTTGCAGGAGTACGCGAGCTTCAGCAGTGAAACATACGGCGAGATGCTCCCGCCCTTCGTTCATCGGTGCGTATTACGGCGCATCCGTGACCTCTTGTGCATCTGAGGCTGACGCGTGACTCTTGTAGGATCATCAAGGAGAACAAGCTCGGCCCGAACGACGTACTCGTCGACCTCGGTGCAGGAGTCGGCAACGTGCTCATCCAAGCCTCCCTCGCAACAGGCTGCGAGACATACGGCGTCGAGATCCAGAAGGGCGCAGCGGAAGTCGGACTGGAACAGGTACATTCTTCGCGTTGACATCATGGCGGCTGATTGGGCGCTTACACGAACGCGACAGCTCGCACAGGCGCGCGCACGCGCAGCAGCGTGGGGTGTCAAGCTCGGGCCTATGACTTTCGAGGAGGGCGATATGCTCACTTCGCCTGGTGTTGATGAGGCGTTGAGGAGAGCGAGCGTTGTTGTTTGTAACAATAAGATGTTCAGCGAGAGCCGTGAGTCTATCTATGCGGTATCTGGGATGCGTGGAGGGGAACTGACGGGCGCCAACAGTGAATACGGCGCTCAAGAGCAAGTTCCTTGATCTGCCCGAGGGCGCGAGGATAGTGAGCTTGCACCCGTTCGCGCCACCCGATGCACGGAACAACGGTACGCTCTCCCTCCTCAGATCATCCCTCTGTGTCACTAGTACTGACGCGCCCTCGCAGCACGCTCGCGCGAAGCAATCGAAACTATCCTCACCGTCCAAACCCGCTCCTACGGCTCGCGCGACGTCTCGTGGTCCGGCGGCGGAGGGGACTACTACGTGCATACTGTCGACCGCGCGGGGTTGGCGAAGATGCGTGCCGCTGAGACTGGGGCGAGCGGGAGGAGCTCGAGGGCGCGGAGGTAGTGCGGGTGTTTGTGCGGAGTGCACGGCGGGGTTGTATATATGTTTGATTATCTTTCTTGGTGCTTTGTGAGGTTCATAGTATTAGGTCTCCGGTCTCTCCCGTGCTCGAATGTACTCTTGTAATGCCGTGCTAGCTGTCATTCTATCACGAGATCGCTGTGGGGTGACTCAGAGCCCTCGGCCGTTTACTTTGGCGGATGCTCGCCCATGTTCAACAGGGACAGTTGTCCTACTTTTATCTGACTGACAGTGGAGTAGGATACCAGACAGGAGAGCGGTCGACGAGAGGGGACGGGCAGAGCGGGATTCGCACGTATTACGCGCCTTTCGGCACCCGCGCGCGTCGCATGAAAGATCGCACAATCCCAGGCTTTACAGGCAGCGAGACCCTGTCCAACGGCCGCTTAGCTGACCTTCGCGCCACAGGCGTGTGCAGTTGCAAGGATGGGTTGGGTATAACAACGCAAACGTGGGTATACAAACGATCAGGACAATCTTTCCGTGAAGCCGAACGCAGTACGCAGACTACAACCGATCCTTCCATGCTCCCTCACGAGTTCCTGGTAATCTTCCCGCTCCTTGAGTGGCAGATGCTTGTCCGAGTAGGCATTCAATACGTCCTCCCATTGGCGGATGGTCTCTTGAGACGGATCATCAATGAAAGCTCCGAGTGCCGAAACCATTCGTGCGAGTAACCTGGCCGGATCGTCAGCAATGGGATGGGGAGGTTGCGTTGCAGGACCTACTGGTGCACCACGGTCATCGGTTTGGTGATTGCGGTACTTCCGTGGATGGCGCTACCGATGACTGCACTGCGTTCGAGCTCTGATAGCGCGGCATCGTATATGAACCGCCCCGCGCGCAGACTGTGTGCGTAAGCCTGGATCGAAGACAATGAGCATGGCAACGTGATGAATGCACCGAGAGCTGACCGGTGACTTGGGGTGCCAGTGATACGGTGACTGGATGTGCGACCGCAATAGTTCGTACGCGAGGGTCGACCTCGAGAATGTGTCTTGAGTGGATATTAGGGCGTCCACGACTAGTTGCGACACCAAGTGCATCTGCTCCGGCGTGTCTATCATGCGGGTTAAGCATTCGCCTATCAGATGGCACATACTTTAGTGATCTTGGCTACTTACTATCCTAAAGCGCGGCGCTCAGCTCTGAGTGAACAAGGTATACACGGGCACAAGGGGACACACTTGGGAGTAATGTATGTTGATGACGTGAACGCGATGACAGCTTCGCGCGAACGCCTCCGCCGCGTCGAAATCGACGGGGCTGGCGTGCTGGGCTGTTGTTGTCAGGGTAGTCACTTGAACATCGGTCTGAGAGAGGGCTAAGTGCCATTCTATGCCCTGGCGTCTGGAATGCAAGTGATAAGTGAGTACGCGCTGGATCGGATGGCGCGCGATCTCACATGCCTTGTTGAAGTCGGATCTGGTGCGTCAACGCCAGCCCATTTGACAAGCGCCAAGTCTGCGCTCGTCTGCCGAAACGTTCCCAAGCAACTGGCACTGGATTGCGCTGTTTAGCAGTGCAGTATCGCAACGTGTGAACTAACACTTACCATACGACTTCGTTCAATACCGAGTGTGGGTTGTACTGGTAGTCACAGTAAGGGCAGTAGGAGATATCGTTTGCCACGCCCCATATGTACATCAAACCCATTTCCATGCAGAGTCCAGGTCGCGTACAGCTTGCCCAGTTAGTGCCTGAGATAAGCCTCGATGATCCGGCTTCGACTAGCTCATAACGCTTGAAGGACACGAAGTCCGACGCTCCCGGTACCTTTGAGTAGAAGAGACTCAAGAACTCATGGAAGTACTGGAGACAACGCGTCAACAATCATCGCACGGCGAGCAAACGCCTGACGCACCTCGTACGAGGAGCAGAACTGGCTAGGCACGGGGATATCCTCTCCGAGAAGTCCGATCAAAACAATGCCATCCCCGGGATTGAAATTGGGGTTCATTGGTGTCGATGACTGTAGCCAGAGGACATGTACGACGAGCGCACAGATAGCGGACCAGAGGCCCGTGCTCTTCCATTGAGAGTCTACGTTGTTGTGAACCACGAACGCAGCGCCAGCTACAAGAAACGGCGCGAGCAAAGACAAGAATCTATCGCGTTGGGCGGCAGGAGTGTTGGGGGCGAGCGAGTCGTAGATCATGTTGGCGACGCGTCGAATGCGAGCCCCGATTCGTCGAGCGTGAGACGAAGCAAAGTATGGGTGGGAGAGGGCTTGCTCCATCACCTGTGCGCGCGGCGGCATTGCGGCCTCCTGAAGGGCAAGACTGTACGACATGAGGCCTTCGCATGGTTCGGGCGCAACTATAGTACACTCACAGGGTAACAGCCTTGATCTCCTCGCTAGACTCGCGGAACGCCCGACTCTGATCTTGCGCCAGCCGTAGGTGGCGGCGAAGCGCTGCTAGAATGGAAGAGCATCGTTCATTCAGGAGGCGCGATGTCGATTGACTGTAGAACTAGATCAGAGTTTCAATCAAAGATGGGGGGAATGCACGCGTACTGTCCGAGTAGGCAGATGAACGAGTTGAGCCTCTGGTGGCTCTCTCCAAAGCGTTGAGTGTATTTGGCCGCGTCGGAAGCTCGTAGAAGGTGCCACTGAATCTTTTTCAGGTTTCGTCGAGTAGTGTTGCGAGTGAAGCGCGCGGAGGACTCCTCGAGTTTCTCGAAGTCAGATATGCTCTTGTGCGCGCTATTGATATCGATGCAGCAAAGTCGGACTTCTTCGAGCACGGCCTGCCTCAGAGTCTCGTTGTGCGAAGCTTTGGCGAGGTCATAGACCTCGGCCATAACGGTTCCGAGGGCCGAGAGGACGCGAGTGAACTGCTTAGACTCTTCTGCGGCACCCCGCGTTTCATCTAATGCTATGACGATGTTGCGGATGAGCTGTACGACAGCTATGATGTCGCCAATTGCGTTGCATGTTATCGGAAACATGCGAGGCTGTTGCTGTAGACGACGGGGGAAAGTGAGCGTACGGAACGAGTAGTAGAAGCGAGAGATACGGGTTTCTTGTACTTGCATTGCGCAAGGCAACTGCTCTATGTGGGAGCATAGTAGCGTACCCATGTGTACGGCGAAGCACCGATGCCGTATTCAGGCGGTAGCCTGAGCACCCATTGATGATTGAGCTGCTGCCGACGACTCGGAGGTCTCCGGCGAAGAACTCGCAACTTCAGGTACAGAACAACCGAAAAGCTGATCGACATAATGTCGTACGAGGGTAATATGTAGCACAACCCTAGTCCGTAGCTCTCAGCGAAAGTACCGAGCGAACACGGTTTTCGATTGATCATGGTGGAAGAAGCCAAGGAACATTGCGCCGGTGTTTGCCGGGATTTCGCTAAACCCGCGCCACAGGCGCGTGCACCGGACTTACATCCGACCATGATTGCCCTGCTCTCCAATTGGGATGCCAAACACCGCGTGTCTTCATGCCCATAGAGCATCTCTACTCCCGCCTTTCCACAAGTAAGATGCACAACACCACGATGTTCTACCCGTCCCTGCGAGTACGATGTTATCCGGTGGCGTACTGCACCAATTCAGTCAAGTTCGGCGCTTGTGCGTGTCATCTTCGTACCTGACTTAGCTTACTGACTATGTGCGCCCAGAAGTCTCAGCTACATCGAAGTCACCTTGATAAACGGACACTGCATTGCCGTCGGCATACTGGGAGGTTTCCATCCAGTGCGCCTGCAGTACATTCTGGTCATACGAGAGGAACATAACGTCTACCTGCCTCCGCACGTCCTTGAAAAGTTGTTCTCAGTCGTCGTCAACCATTACCAGCTCGAGCCGTGAGCCCGCGCTCCGACGAAGGCGTATCCCTGCGTATCCTGGCGCATACCACCTGCCAAATGGCCTTTATCGCGTGCGAAAGGGAACGGGCTTTCATTCCTTCCATTCCCTCGACACCGCCAAGAGTCAGGCGTTGAAGCTCAAGTCTCTGCACAAGTACGCGAACTTTGGTAGTAGTGAGTCGTATGAGGAAGTGCGCACAGTGGATTGCGCAGGGTGGACGGAGATACGTGCCGCCAAGAGCGTTGTTACTAGGAGGATCTCTCGGCTCGGTACCGCTGTTTGCCCTTGTACGCGATGCAAACTCTGTCACTCATGGGTGGCATTTGCGCCTTACTCCCTCACAATGTATACGCAAATGCCTGATCAGATTATCAATTAGATGCGCACAGATGTACGCGCAAATACATGTGTCACCCGGGCCCGTCATCTCTCCCCGAAGCCGAAGCCAACACGCAGGTCGCTACTGATGATTCGATGATCTCTTACGAGTTCGTTAAACTCCGCTCGCTCGTTAGGGGGAAGCTGCGTGTCTGAGTAGTCCACCACGATGTCTTCCCATTCGCATAAGTGTTCTCCAGATGGCTCCTCAATGAAAGCACCTAGTGCAAAAACCATTCGCTCGAGCAACCTGATGGGTGTGTGGTACCGTGAGCAAAGGAAAGGAAGCTTTTGGCGATAGAACTTACCCTTGCACAACAGTCATCGGTCTTTTGAACACCGTACTGTCATGCGTGCCGTTGATCACTGCACCCTGCATGAGCTTCTCAAGTACGGCATCATACACAAGCCTATTTGCGTGTAAGGCTTCTTCGTAGATCTGTAAGGCAAACGTTTGGAGTGATACTATCATTGAGTGACTCGTGTCAGCGAATGTGCTGAGAGCTCACAGCATATTGAGGATCCCAGCTACTGACGGACTGGATGTGCGACCGTAAGAGTGCATAAGCGATGCTTGATCTTGAGAACGTGTCCTGGTCGAAGATCAAGGATTCCAGAACTCGCTGCGATGCCCATTGCAAATGCTCCGGTGTGTCTATGCAAGTCAGACCTCATCACCAAGACCAATTATGTCCCGCACAGCTTGAGTACTTACAGTCCTAAGTCCAGTAGTCAGTTCTGGTGAGATGAGGATAGGCGCGGAAGTACGGAAACACACGGATGTGGGTTGGAAATTGACAGCATGGATACGGCGACATCGGCGCGCGAACGACATGGCCGCGTTGGCATCGACATAATTGACGTGCTGGGCTGCTGTTGTCAAGGTAGTCACCGGTGCATTCATCCGGGAAAGAGCGGACTTATGGTCAGCGCCATAGCACCTGACGGTGGAAGTTAGTATGGGGAGTTAGTATGGGGAAGATCGGATGGTGATCTAACTTGCCTTGCTGAGATGGTGGACCCCGTGTTCACACCAGCTACTTTGACAAGCACGAGGTCTCCTCTGGTCTCTCGGAACCTCCTGAAACAATTGCTGCTGAAAATAGCTTCATATCTGTACGACATCAGTATGGCGATGGGGGAATCGTACCAGACAACTTCGCTCGAGGTTGAACGAGTGCTATACTCGGAGTCGCAGTGAGGACAACAGGACAGATTGTCTATCATTCCTCCTATCAATATCAATCCCATCTCCATGCGGATTCCAGGTCGTATTTGAGCCTTCCAGTTGGTCCCCGAGATCAGCGCCAATGTCTCAGCCTCGAACAGCTCATAGCACTTGGTAAGCACAAAATCGGATGCTCCTATGGTCCTAGAGTAGAGGAGGTTCACGAACTCGTGGAAGGTCTATGAGAAGGGCTTCAACGATGACCACATGGCGAGAAAACGATCCACACACCTCGTATGATGAGCAGAATTGAGTGGGCACAGTGATTTCCTCTCCAAGTAGTCCAATCAGGAACACACAGTTCCCGTGACTGGATCCGGGATACGTCGGTATGGATGACTGAAGCCACAAGACCTGCACAACAAGCGCGCAAACGGCAGACCAGAGGCTTGCAGTTTTCCATTGAGGGCCTACATTGCTGTAGACCACATATGCAGCGCCTGCTACAAGGAATGGCGCTAGCAAAGATAACAACCGCTCCCGTTGATCTCGTGGCGTATGAGGGGAGAGCGAGTCAAAGATCATGTTGGCGACACGTTGAACGCGAGACACGAGTCGTCTTGTGGGAGACGAAGCAAAATATGGGCGGGAGAGGGTTTGTTCAATCACATATGATCGTGATGGCATCGTGGTCTCCCGAAGGGCAAGACTGCAAAGTATGAGATCTTCTCGCTGGGCTTGAGCGCAACTATAGTGTACGCACAGTGTTACAGACTTGATATCCTCGGCGTACTTGAGGAACACATGACTCTGACCTTGCGCAAGCAGTAGGTCGTAGCGAAGTGCTGCTAGAATGGAAGAATGTTGCTCATCCAAAAGATGTGACGTTGACTGACTGTTACACTAGGTCAGGGTTGCAATCAGAGATCGGGAACGCACACATACTGTCCGAGCAAGGGAATGAACGAGTTGAGCCTTTTATGATTCTCTCCGAAGCGTTTGGCGTATTTGGCCGCGTCGGAAGCTCGCAGAAGTTGCCACTGAATCTTCTTGAGAACGCGTCGAGTGTTGCGGCGGTGAGTGGAGCACGCAGACGAGTCCTCCAAGTTTTCAAAGCCTACGATGATGTTGTACGCATGATTGATATCGATACAACAGAGCTGTACCTCTTCGAGAACAGCCTGCCTCAGAGTCTCATTGTACGAAGCCTTGGCGAGGTCATAGACCTCGCCCATGACAGTCCCGAGAGCCGAGAGGACGCGAGTGAACTGTCTATATTCTTCTGCAGCACCCGTCAGAAAAATCGGACACACAGTTTTATACGCTCACAAGCGTCACATCCTCCACACTCTCAGTAGTAGTGTCACCGGCACTCGAAACGAGTGGCCACTGTGGGGGTTGATTTAGGACAAAGTCGTAACTTGCCCTCGGGGAAGTTGGGGGTGCTGTGAGCTTAAGCCAGATATAATGTCGAAAAATATTTTTGTGGTACAGTATCGCACTGTACCACCTCGAACTCCTTTTGATCATATCCTTTTGTCTACCTACTATCTGGTTCAGTTACCTTGATTTTGGTTAGGATTTATTTATTTATTAGGCATGTAGCGGGTTCGGCGATGGAGACGATCGAGAATCGAACAGACGACCTCACGAAGTCGAGCTGGGGGAGCGGAAGACGCTCGCGCAACAGCCATTGCACTAAACATGCTTTGGTACTCGTCCCTCAACCTAATTTATAACTCACACCGGCAAAGGGTTTTCTGCCATATCCACTGCACGCGTCATCAACGATCGTGAACCTTTACTTGGTTTTCTCGTGGAATGTCGCCCTGTTTGACATCCCTTCATGATGCTGAAAGCCTTTCCCTTTCGGTCCATACCCTTTGTGCGAGGTACATCTCAACCACCTGCAGTAGAGTCTGTAGTTCTCTGCTTACTCAGCCCGAGTATATGGGAGTGAAATCATACAAGCCCTTCAAAAACTATGGAAGGTGCTCGGGACGAAGAGCAAGGTGGGCTATCATTGCTCGTGGCACCATTGAAATACGATGGCTTCGCTGTCATGACTACTGACTTGACTTATCAGTCATGTGGCGACTGCTCTGGTGCGAGTTTGAGAGGTTGCCAGGGTGCTGTCAACGATCGCAACCTGGCCGAGACTTAGAATATGGCCGAATCTGCTCGCGACTGTCGTTCGATTTTTCTGACGCCGCGTGCATCATCTAGTGCTACGGCAATGTTGTGGATGAGCTGGACGACAGCTACAATGTCGCCTATCGCGTTGCAGGTGATAGGCAACATGCGAGGTTGCTGTGAACGACGGGGGAGTGTGAGTGTAGGGAGCGAGTACACAGTGGAAGGACGTGATGCGGGGATTCTTGTACTTGCCTAGCGCAAGATCATTGCCCTATGTGGGAGCGTAGTAGCGTACTCATGTGCACGGTAAAGCACCGATGCCGTATGCAAGCGGCAACGCGCATTGAGCTGCTGCCGACGACTCGGAATTCGCCGGCGACATTCGCAACTTCGTGTATAGAACGACCCGAAGGTCGTCCCATCTGTCACACAAGTACATTGAGCGGGAAACCCTGGTACGTAGCTCTCGGCAAAAGTACTGCGCGAGGACGGTTTTCAATTGGCCATGGCGGCAGAAGGCAAGGATCAACGCACGCCACCTTCGCACGTGCACGGCGCTATCAGACTTGCCTCGCACCATCATCGCCCGTCGCGCTTGTCAACCCTATACCATATACCAAGCATGCGCACAGCAGACGTATATTGCAGTCCCTCTACGATTTCAACAAAGTACAGATGGAGATCCCCCTGACCTCGCTGGGGCGACTCGCACAGCGGAAGTCCTGTCCTTGTGCGTATATCATCCCGCGTCTTCTACCATACATTTACTGGTACTGATAGTCTGATGCTGCAGTACAGGGTTTGATGATC